ATTTTCCAGGGGGGTTCGGTTACGGTTTGGGGATCGGTTCTAGGTGTAAGAAGCTATTTGGGGGGGGGGGGGATTCTAGGTTTATACTATTTAGTTATGGTCTGGTGAAAAAAAAACTGGTTAGTCTAGTAGTTTCATGTCTATTGCCAGCTTCGTGTTATGGTATGGTAAATAAAAAGTGGTAAGTTCCGTCATTTCATGTCTATATCAGGTTTGTGTACTGGAATGGGCAAGGAAAAGTCGGTAAGTACAATTATTTCATGTCTAGGGTTCGATGGCTATTTTACGGCGCGGTGCCACCCGACGCCAACCTATATTCCGATTTAGGGAACAGAAGCAGGGCGGGGGGTGATCATTGGAGAAATCGGGGTCAGGAGGAACCGGGCGCTCACGAATATTTTGCCATTGTCGTATCCAGTTTCTCGTGCGCACGCGTCGATCACCTGCGGCGCCGGGTACCAGCGAACGTATCCCTTGAAAGAAAAGCCTCCTCCAATCTGAACCCCATGTAACCGTGTCAGACACGTTTCTCGCGAAAATTACAGCTTTCAATGTTCTCTCGTTCCCTCGCCCGTGGCGGTGGTTAGCGGTCAACGGGACTCGGTCATTCGTTTCGCGAACATGCCCGGTGTTAACGCTGCGCATTGCGGCTCTCTGTGGTAGACTCCTCAAAACATGAAGCAGCATCAGGTCGGCCCGTACCGTAGTAGATGGCATGGCTCCAAAACAAGCCCCGTGCGAAAACGAAATGTCAGGGCTGCACTTGAACTTGGCCCACACCGGCTTTGCGGGAGAACGGCGAGGTTTCAAAACACTCTCGCCATCCGAACACAACCCTTCCATCATAACACAAATCTTCCATTCGAACGCAAGAATCTCCGCACTAATACATACATACACACCTGAACTTGGCCCACACCGGCTTCCGGAAGAAGAAGACTTCCTGGGACGCCGTCTCGCACTCCGTGACGTAGAAGAGCGACCTCAACTGCTCCAAAAATAAAACACGGATAAACCAGCAGCTTAGCCTCCCCCTCGCGGGGTCCCAGACCATGGGGTTACAATCATTCTCTGCTTTCAGCCGCACTGAGACTGACGTAATTTAATTGGCCAGCCGAAACCGCGGCCGAGGCGACGAACACAGATACACACAAATTACGGAGGTGGCAAGTGCGGACGCACACACCAAGCAAGAAAGCAAAAGGGCAAACACGCATCACCCGAGCAGACACGCAAGCTTTGGCCCTGGCTGCACTGTCATCGTCAACACCACTCTGTTTGAATATATGGGGACCATTGAGATATCCACATTCGCATTCGAAAGGTCTTTACAGATACTAACAGAGTGACATCAGTGAAGCTTAGGCCTCGTGCCTGGTCCTAGTTTGTCATACCACCTTGTTTGGAAATGTTTAAAACCCTTTGTATCCGAAAGGTCCATACTGTATGTTTCAATGCAGAGTGGTAGCAGTCAAGCTTGCGCCTCGTGCCTTCTGGCGTCGACCATGTGGGATACGATTTTCTTGCGCGGACGATGATTGTGTTCTTAATCGCCTCAGGTTGATGTCGACGAACGTGGAGCGGGGGAGCGCGACGACATGGTCAAAGAACCACGAAAGAAATCAGCTACATAGGCTACTACCACAATATGCCTTCTAGAGGCGGGCTGTGATCGCAGCGTCTCGCAGGACTGCAGACTGGCTGCGATTGGTAGAGAGGGGGCGACAGAGCCGCCCCGCCCTCCACACCAAAAAGCATGCAACAACACCGGGTATCGCCACCACTCGATCTTCTCCCCACAAGCGCAGCCACGCCAACCCGAAACGACATGTGCCTCTTCGAAAAAGCTCTCGACGAGGAGTTTCCTATTCCGTTCACCTCGGGATTGCAATGTCCCCTCTTCTAGATTGCAGAGATACCGAGCGTGGAAGGACGGTCCAAAACCGATTGTTGTTGTATCACGCTACGAGATGCATCCAAACAAAAATAACGCCATGGTGAGGGAACAAACCCACCAGCGGTACGATGACGTCCTTGAACGTCCAGAGCACTAGGGCCTCCAAAAGCTCGACCCGCTTCGCCAAATCGCTCGGGGGGAGACGCTGGCGCGTCCGCCGCCGCCGCCGCCGCCGAATCGATTTGTCTCCCTTAGACCCCACTGCCACCCTCCCCTTGCCCCCGCCCCTAGCCTTCTTCTTCTTCGACGTGTCTGCCCGCTTGGTGCCTTGGTTCGACGTACCAGGAAACGACCCTCTGGCTTCAACGCTGCCGCTACCCCTGCCGCCGCCGCCGCCGTGAATCCTTTCACTTCCGTGATGCCCATGCGAGTCCGCCCTGGCTCTGTCTGTCCCGTTTGCGGCCCCGCCGGCGTCGGCACCCCCCCTAGGACGCTTGCAGTTGCCGTCGCCCCCGACTGGGCCTCCCTTCGCCTTCCGCTTCCCGTTGTTAACCCTCCGCGTCTTCGCTGGCTCTTGGTCTTGTTGCTGCTGCTGCTGCGGCGGCGGCGGCGGCGGCGGCGGCGGCGGCGGCGGCGGCGGAGCTTTCCCATCCGCTGCGCCGACGGCCATCCATTCTAGATCTGACGTGCGCATGCCCGCGGTCACCTGCCGCCAGAAACATTCCAGCAGCATGGTGCAACAGATGATGATGAATGGGTGGGGGCACCGCGATATGATTCCAACACGAAGACTTCATGACGCGCTTCGTTTCGGGCCAGTGCCAGTGTACGAGTCAACGGAGAGCGACGCACAGGGCGACATAAACTCTCACCAGCCGGAGAAAACGGGGTGAAGAGTATAACACCTACATGGGACTTTCCCTTGTTTAAGGCGAGCGACACAAGCAACCGGCCGTGTTCCTGCGAGTCTAGAGCAATGGTTCTCGTCTCGGGATGGTTTGAGGTCTGCTGGCCATGGCGTACCAAAAAAAGTATTGAAAAAAATGCAGTAGCCTTGAGCACGTGCCCAGTCGACCAAAGAAGAAACGAACAGCATGTAATAACGAGATGCTCTTTGACAAATTGTTTTTTGAGTCGAATCGCACCAGAGTGACAGCGCACAACACCCCGAGCTCCGTCCAAATGTTCGTTGAAGGTTAAGGCGTGGGTATCCTTGCACGCACACCAGCAAGCGTCCCACCCAATACTTCAAACGGTCGCCAATTTACAAACACTGCCCGACAACTGACCCCGAGTGTATCGCCAGGGAGCAAAAAGACACAACAATGTTTCGTGTTCATTGCGTCACGAAACAAGCATTGCAATGGTTGTCGTTGCCAGGCCAGTCCCTGATCTCTCCTCACCAAGCAACCGATGGCCTGTACCTCATGGCTTTTCAACAAACGCGGCCGCTTGTGGACCTTATCTTACCTCCAACACCGACATGGTATCGTGCCTCCGGAGAACGACGAAGCGCTCGATCCCTCGGGATAGGCACACCATGTTGCGCCTGGATCCCCACAGCTCTGTCGGGAATATCTGTGAAGAGAAGAAGAGGATCGTGGAGCATGCATAAAGGGTCGCAGAGGGCAAGGAGGAGAGCGGGCTTGGTCATTCCACATCAGCTCACAAGTCTACGGGTTAGCACAGCGGTAAACGGAGCAACTTGGTTCGGTTCAAAAAACGACCTCCCTCTGCTGTCTCCTGTCGCACTCGCTCCTTTCCTTCCCTCCCCGCCAGTGGCATGCGTTGGCATCAGGCCAAGATGCCACGGATTAGTCTCGACAGCGATATGCGATGAATCGCTCACAGGTAAAAAATTCGCTCCGCGTTCTGGCCTACAAGCACATTGCGGAAGAAACGGCTGCGTCATCAAGCGCAAACGCTACCACGAAAGACATCGCTACACGCATATCTCTTCAACGTATTAAAGCGACACTCATCATCACTCCCCCCTAGGGCATGAAAGGACACGATACAGCAACACTCCCGTCGCCACAGCACTCGACCACCACAGATGGCCATTGCACTCAACCGCAAGCATGCCTGGTGAACGACACCCACCAAACCAGAGTCATCGACGTTAGCAGGGACGGTCGTCCGGATAATGCTTGCTCACCCTGTGGCACGCTTGGCAAAGGAAATCCACCACCCGCCGGTGCTCAGTAGCCATCTCGATGAACGTCATGTTGGGGTCCACGCTGAACGTGGGTTGGTCGGGGGGGGGAAGGGGGGGACTGGCCTGTACCCCTGCGGCAAGCGCGCTTGCACCTGCACGGCAAACAAAGGAAATAGAGAGGTAGCGCTATGCTGGATATCGTCGTGCTGATTGACCCCAGCCATCACTCGGGAAACTCGGAGAGTCGACGCGGACATGCCAAAATTTTCCTTATGACAAAAAAGCAAGAGGCGGGAGACGGTCGGAGAGAGACAGAAGCTCACATCAAGGCGACCAATCTGTTGCCGACGCCGCGCTCGTACGAACGACACCATATCCCTCAAAACCAAAAAGTGCGTGTATCTTGCATCAGGTTTTACACATCAAAGGCGGCACACAGGGCAAACGTCGGTTAAACTGCCTTCATTCTCATTGGTGCAACAAAGCTTGCCACGAAGGAGAAACATCGCGCGTTTCGTCGCGATGATCGTTACGTTTCCCCTCACCGTTAGCCGTCGGGGCTTCGTCAAGCAGGGTAGCATCGGAAATATTCCCACTGTCGCCCCCCCCGCTGCTCGAACCGCTCGTGCCGCCGCCTGACTCGTGCTGGGCGAGACGGACGACAGTGGCAGGGATTAGTGAACCTACGTACCCAAAAACCACGAGCCGCAAAGGCTTGGGTTTTTCTCGGAAGAAGCGATGGACCACGTTTTCCGATCGCGTCGGAAGCCATGAGGGGACCCCATCACCGCTGTACGGGAGTGAGAACGCTCGAAACGATTGTTCGTGGGGAGGTTGCGCCAAGAGGCCCGCACGCAATTGCCTCTTTTGGTGCAAAACTCGTCGTCACGAGATGGAGCCCACACGCTCGGGGAAGTGAAACCTCTTCAACAGAGGTCTCGGGAAGACTCTCAGCAAGCCACACGAAGACAACGAGCGGCTTACCCAGCAAGCACGGCCAATCAAGCGAAAGACGGTCAAGCACGCTGCGCCATCAAAAGCCACGAGCACAAGCGTCGAAAATAAGTCGGGATGTCCTCCAAAAGGCTCAGTCCCCCAACCGAAAAAACACGAGGTGAATGTTTCGGGAACGAAGTCTGCGCCGTCGATAATGCCCGTCGTCCTCTGGACCTGGACTCACGTTGGTGAGGTGCAAACACGAACTGGGACGATTTGGAAAACCTCTAACCTCGAAGGCATTGCTGCTTGCGACAACCCGACAAGTAGACCGAGTACCGAGAAAGGAGCAAACGGTGAAAAACACCTCGCAAGTGCTGCCACAGGAAAAGCTACTCCAAAAACAAATCAGCGCGCTTTGAGGCGTCGTTGCAGCTCTGCGAGGAGCGAGAGCAGCTCTCTTACCGATCCCCGAGATACAGATCCCCACGGGGAGGCATCCGCGCACCCTCCACGTAAGAGTCGCTGTGGCTCGGCCGCTCGTTCGGCACTAGCCCTGTCGCTGCTGAGGACGCTTCCGATACCCTCCTCCTCCTCTCCCTGCACGCCGTCGGCGCACGATATCCCGCCGACGCCGCCATGAGTGCGTACGGTAAAATAGTCGTTGTCTTTCGTGCGCACTTCCTTCACGGTCGATCCGGTGTCCATCACGTCTTCCTCTTCGTCGCTCTCCCCCGGCTCCTTATTTTCATCCTCGCTATCGTTGCTGCTGCTGCTGCTGCTGTTGTCTCCTCCCCCTCCTTCCGAACCAGAGTCTTCATCCTCGCTCGCCGTGACCTCCTGCCGCCACAAATCCGCCGCTGAAACATCTTCCGCTTGCCCCCCAACCTCCTCGTGCAAGGTAGAAACGTCGGACGGACTGGGCGGGGGCGCCGCGGCTTGAAAACCCCCCTCCCTCTTGTTGGGGCCTGTTTCGTTGCGGGCGTTCGTGTGTACAGAGTCAGGCCATCATGAATCTACGGCTATAGTCAGAGGTCACACCTCAGCATCAGCACTACAATACAGGGAAGAACTTGCAGAGGTATTTCTACGCCCAAACGTGTGGACATTGTTGCCCGATGCTGTCGTCAACAAGAGGCACGGCGCATGGGACTCGCAACGACATCGTCTATTGCCCGTTTGCTCTTCCTCCAGTCGTACCTAGCGGTTGCCCCCCCTCGCCTGGTCCTCGTTTCCCCGCCTTCGTTCCGCGTACCGATTGCGGCAGAGGGCAGTGCGCCTCCAGCAGCCTCCCGATGTTGCAGCGGTGCGCTCTCCCAATCATTTCCTCGAACAGCGGGACAGCTCGTCGCAGCCTCTTTGGAAGCCTGCGGCGCGCCCCCCCACCCCCTAGAGCTAACTTTCCCGGGGACCCCGTCGCCTTCGGCATCACTCCCGACCCGGCGCGCTGGAGCACCCCCGGTCTGCCCTTACCGTGGGCCGCGTCGCCCAGGGGCTGCTGCTGCCGGCCCAGGTCCTCACCGTGCAGGCTGCTAGCAAACGCGTCGCGTACCAAGTCGTGGGCGACCCTGCTGATGGTAGCGGGAGCTTCGACGGGAGAGCCAGAGGTCTTTCCGTTCGTGGCGCGGTTGCCGGTAGTTCCTTGGTGCGAGGCGGCGGGCGGCGGGCCAGCCTGCTCCCCGCCGGCCGCCGCCGGTGCCTGCTCACAGGGATTGAGGACGTGTCCGCGCGGAAAACCAGCTTTTCTGAAAGAAAAAAGAACAAGACACGGGATGTCAGCAACGGCTGGGCGCTTAAGCGCTGACCGAGGTAATGTGCGTGTGAGAAGAGGCGCAGACCATGCCGACTGACATCACTTGCAGCACCTGCGTGGGGCCGCCAAAAAATGGCAATACCGACTATAATGATGTAAAGATGAGGCGCGGGGGGGGCGGCGAGGGAAAAAACGAGGGGGGGATGACCCACAGCCATATCAGGATATCGACCCACCCTCGCCATGGCGCTAATGCGGCCACCGCAGTCGTGTAGAGAAAAAAGGCCACAAAACCGTCGTGCTTGCAGCAGTCACAACCGAAAGGCAGTTCGCTCAAGTGAAAAGAAAAGGATCTGGCACGAATAAAAAACAACAGCGCCTCGCCCACCCGCAACCCCCCCGCCCCCTTGGATCACGAACCTCACAAACGTGCTTGAGTAGAAGATGCGCCGCCGAGGCAGTAGCATCACGGGCCGCGCAACGGGGGGGTCTTTACTCGCCGGTATCCCATCGCCTCCCCCCGCGCTCGTGCCGTGCTTGCCGCCAGCGATGGAAGAGGTTGGCGTATCCTGTGCAGGGGAAGTTGACGACGACGCACGTCCCAGAGGGGCGCTCCTGGATGCTGGCCCCTGTCCTTCGTTGCCTTTCTTGCTCGACGCTGTGTTCTCGGAAGGGCGAATAGCTCTCTCCCTCGCGCCGACAGTTCTAGCACCACCACCAGAACCAGAACCACCACCACCAGCAGCAGCAGCAGCAGCAGCAGCAGCAGCAGCAGCAGCAGCAGCAACGCCACCATCAACGGGCGCCGCTGCCGAAGATGCGGACGACAGCGTGCCGGAGGTGAGGCCCAGGTGGCGGCACAGGTCCGGCACCGGACGCCCCACGAGCTGCTAGGCAGGAGTCGGGGACGGGGATGGGAAAGGGGGATGCTGTCAGGAAACGGCGTCTGAGACTGACAATGCCAACCCGGAAGGAGGACTTCGGTGGGGGGTCAGGGAGAGGGGATCATTGGCTGCGGCCCGGGATTGGGCCTTCGTTAAGCAGGCAGCGCGCTCGGGGTACGGGAAGGGAAACGAAACTTGCGGAGCGCTAGAAAACGAACAGGGAGGACAACTTTGGAATCGGAAGCCCACACGGCCTGGACACGCTTGTGCCCTGAAACCCCTTAGACAAGAATGCCCCACGCGAACATGTACCATAATCGTTGGGCACACCGACCAAAACAGGCTTCTGCTGTTGCTTCAATACCGCCCTTCATTGAGCATCGTTGGTGCTGACTGTCGAGGCCTTGCCTGCATGTAGCAGCGGTTAGGCAGCCGCTGCAGCACGGCGTGCTGTCTCAGGAGAGCAAACATCAAGTCATCCCCAATTCTGGACAGCAGGAGCTCCCACGGAGGCGACCGGATGACGTTGACCGTAGTGTTGGGAAACGTGCATGCTACCCCTTGCACGCTCAGCAGCTCGCTCGTCGCCTGCGGTCCCGCTACTCGGCATCCGAGGGAGAGGACGTTACGGCGCGGGTCGTCTCCCTGAGCGGCGTAGTACCCGCCGACACTGTTCCCCTGCCGACGAAAGATAGAAGAAGAAGCAGGCGGGTCGGGGTATCATGTAGCGGGGTGTTTCTTGAGGTCATCGGGGGTTCTTGGTGGTTCATTCGGCTATTGCGCAGTTCGGTGAGCCTTGGAGGGCAGCTTCGCGACGCTTCAGCCGTTACCCACGAGTACACAAAAAGGTCTGGGGATGCAGATACGTTCATGAAACAACATAAAGCCAACCCTCGGCCGCAAAAGAGCAAAAGGCACAATAAAGAAAACGGCATGACCACTGCAGCGGGCACCCTCCGGTATCCGAAAAGGAACTCGTGGTCTCCAACCGTCAAGGAGCCAGGTGCACAGGTATGTGCATGTAGCCCTTACACCGCACCTGTCCTCCCACGGTCGATGAGCGCAGGAGCGATTGCACCACGCGATCTAGAAGGTCTGCCATGGAGGACCTGTGCTGAAGTGACGCGTGGCGCGGCAGAGGTGCGTGGGCCTCCCCTGGCACCGCTTGTACAGGAGAAGGGTGGAAGGCGACAAGGGTTTCCTTCAACATCTGACAGAAGCCGGACGATAGGGAGGGCGCGGGGGTAAGGCAAGCATACAAGCCGCTGATGCCCAAAGGCGCCCGGTGGGACACGTTCAAAATCGTGGATGAGGAGCAACCGACAGCGCAAGGCAGGTAGTAGCGAGCCACATGCTGCCGCAAGAAAAGGTCCTTGCAGATGTGCTGCCCACAACCAACCCCGAATCCCGAAAAGAGCGCAGCCCTACCATTTAGCCAAAAGATACACCGCGAAACGTATGCTTGCAACGGTAAGTCGGGCCGCGTACAGCAGTAGACCTCGGTCTGCAACTGACAAACAAGAAATACACCAACGCGGTGCATTGCTTGGCAGATAATTTGCGACGCATGCTCACGCGGTATTGGGTACAATAGTTTCGTTTGCTGTCTCATGAACCAAGCTCCGGCCTCTAGCACTCCCACCAGCTATGGAGCTACGGACCTTCTTGTACTCCGGGCCGTCATCCTGGCGGCTAAGGTACGAGGCAGGTCCGCCGCAGCCCTCGATTGCGGCCAGGGACGCAGAGCCAGGCGCTGCCGCCGCCGCGACAGCTTGCAACCACACCTCGAGATACGAGTCGAGGTTGACCGCGTTCGGATAGATGAGCTTCAGCATCCATCGTCCATCGGGACTTTGGCCCTTTCCAGGAGACTGGCACCGTCCGCCTTGCACCGGTGGCATTTCGGAAACCCAACCGCCACCTGCGTGTTTGAAATTGTCCTCTCTCCCGAATACCCTTTTCCCGCGTCCCTGTAGCTGTAATAGTCGCTCACGGCCTGGACCGAAGGGGGGACATGTTCCTCTACGATGCGCAACTCGCCCCCACCTGTACCTGTATCCTATGCCATCTAGGGTGCGTGTTGCCGAGGTGCAGGCCAGTTCCAGGTCTCCTGTTTCAGTCATGCCGGGCCCAGCGGAACACGTTCGTTCGTAGAAGTCGTAGATTGGTGCCGGTCGGTCTCGGGACTGTCATGTTTTTGGTCCATCGGCATGATACCGCTCGCGTTGACTATAGCGCTGAGTATTGTACGTGCACACAGACACATCCATTCCAAATCCCCACCTGACCTCAAGTACACCCCTCCTACTCCTACCTGACAACACGCACCTTGACCTGCTGAGGCCGTGAGGGCTGTTGGTCTCCCTCACTACGTTCGCGAGAGCTGGTAGGGTGACCCCACGCTTGAATTGTAGACAAGCGGCTGGCTAACGTTGGATATGCTTTCTCCACATGGGCGAGTTCGGCAAGATTCCGGGAGGGCGCAGGTGAGACCCCTTCCAGCGCATCAGCGTGCTGGTCTTGGTAGCATCCATGTAGTAGAACTGCTGTTGGGGTTAGCCGAGTAGCCACTGCTCGCGGCGCGCCCAGTTCGCTCCTCCCCGCGACAAATCTTAATCTTGGTTGTCGAGTAAACACTACCAGTTTTGTGGAGTCCAGCTCTCAGCTCTCTTTCTCTCACTCTCAGCTCTCACTCTCTCGCTCAAAATATAAGTCAGTGGCTCTGTAGAGTACAGATCAGCAGACAGCTCCTCACGATGGTCTGCAGAACCAAGAGGTAGGGGCTAAACGCATGCCTACACTTTCCGTGTCCGGGCCATCTCGCACCATGTGCCGGCTCCCGAAAATATCCCGTGTCTAGTCTAGACTACATAGTTGACAGACATGTGAGCACTCCGTTGCGAGCCAAAAAAGAAAGGAAATTACCCACACCAATTGGTTTTTGGATGGCCGTGTGAGGATTAGCTCGGCCGGTGCAACACCACGGCGGCGATAATACTCCATCCCCCCATCCCCCCTCTCTCCCTCTTAGATTCTTTTTTGTCGCTGGGTGCAAGCTGGATGAGGCCTGTTCCTTGTTCTCTTTCCCGTTTTTTCTCTTTTCTCTTCCTCTTTGGCCTGGTTCGATCGTCTCTCCCGGTTTGTTTTGACCGCAGCAGGAGCAGCGGCAGCAGCAATAACAACAACAACAACAACAACAACACTACACTTTGTACATGTTCGTAAAGGCGACCGTAGTCCAACAACCTTGATCTTTGGACAAGGCACATCCAACAAGATTGCGTTCAGCTTTGGGTGCAAGCATCCTTCCCCCATACATGCAGTCAAAATCATGTTGTGTTCGCGAACGATCCGTATCCTCCACAGAATTGCTCCTCGAGCCGTGTACGCTTGGTGGGCGTGGTGAGAATAAAGTGCTCAACAGGCTTCAATCAACCAAATCGTCAACCGCAGCTACGGGATCTGAACGTGACACATTCTTGAAGAGCTATTTCGCAGCACTGAGTGCACCAAGGGAACAAAAGAGTTGAACAACGCTGTATTGGCGCCACGGACGCTGTGCCAGTGAAATCGTAGTCAAGGGCCCGAACACAAGTTGTTTTGGACAAACTTGAAGCTTCTCGAACGGATCTCGTGCCGTTCATCATCGGTACAACCACATGATTGACCTGGGAGCTGATGGGCCCCATGCTGATCTCCAACTCTGTAGTCAACGGGTCGAGGTCAAACCTTGCCTGCTGTAACCATTTGTGCTGATTCTCTGGGTGGGTTGGCTGGGGTGCGCTGTGCTGATGAAGAGATGGAAAAAACTTCGTCTGTGACGCTTGCTTAGACATGGATGGACAATGCTCACCGCGGCTATTGAAAAATGTTTAGCGGGCGTCCTGACGATTCCACAAAACGGAAATATATTTTAGCTGGTGATTACAATATTGATATTGTACTGGAAGAGTGTTCTTCAAACCGTGACCGGTAGACACTATTTATCTTGGAGTCCAACAACCGCTACCATTTTTTCCTTCAACGGTGGCCATATCCAAAGCTTGCTGAAATCGCTCCACACTAACTATTCAATCAGCGTTGTCATTCCCCAACTCGTCGGCTTACCTCTTTGTATCGCACAAAAACATAATGGTGACGTACACCCGGCAGGCTTCAGTTTGCCCATCCTTCACACACCCTCAAAATGATTGACGCTGGCTTCTCAGCATCGGTGCTATAGGGTGGGTGTATTTTATCCCCACACTCGTAGGTTTTGTGGCTCAGTGCGTTGCGGTGTTGACTGTTGTGCTGCTGTTGGAAAACAATGCAATTTGTGTCAAACTTAGATGTTGCTTACCTCAATGGACGTGCTGCTGCTGCATAGAATGGTGGAAATGACGGCAGGATCACATTGACGGGGCCACGACTGCTGCCCGTGATGGGTCAACCTCGACTCGGAGCATTAGATAGTTCGGTGGCGAAGCAGCGTTCAGGTGCAACGTCGACGCACTAAACGCCACCAGGCCGACTCGGGCGACGGCAGAAGCAGCTGCAGCGGTCGTTGCAGCTGCTCCTGTCGTTGCTCCGGTCGGCCTCATGGCGTTCAGCGCGATCATGTTGCGCTTGAACGCTGCTTCACCACGGAATCGGTCTGAGTTGACACATCGCGGGCAGCGGTCGTGGCCCCGTTAACGTTTTCCTGCCGGCATTGCCGCCATCCTATGCAGCAGCACCAGCTGCACGTTCGCAAAGGTTATCACTATCAAAGTAGGACAAATACTTATCGCTTTTCGGGTGTGATTGTTTTTCAACAGCAGCGCCCAAAGGCAGATGAGCCACAACACCTACGAGTGTGGAGATAAAGTAAACCCACCCAACAGCACCGATGCTAGTTAGTTTGCCCATCAATCACACCCTCCTAACAATGACGTTTGTACTTCAGCATCGGTGCTGTTGAGTGGGTGTATTTTATCTCCAGGCTCGTACGTATTGCGGCTCAATGCGTTGCGGTTGGTTTTGGTTGTGCTGTCGGAAAGCAATCACACACGCAAAGCAATACGTTTCTTGCTTTGTCAATGACAACCTTCTGCGGACGTGCTGCTGCTGCTGCTCTTGCCGCATAGTATGGCGATCATGTCGGCACGATGGCATTGATGGGGCCGGGACTGCTGCCCCCGCCTCGACTCGGAGCACCCGAGCGGCTTAGGCTCAATACGAACGAGCTGAACGCAGCGAGGCCGACTCGGGCAACCGGACGAGCAGCGGCGACGGCGGCAGCGGCCGCGGCAGCAGCGGCAGCGGCAGCTGCAACTATCCCCGGGAAGGAGGGATACATTGCCCGGTTGGAGCACCAGCTGCGGCACATGGCGGTAAGCAGACAGACTGACCATCTGGGAAGTTGGTGCTGGTTTGCTTCACTATCGTGGGATAGGTACGAGAGGCACGCCTGCGAGATTCCCTTCGATCCTGTAGTGCATGTTTTGGGGTGCCTTGGGCATGGTATGCTTGCGATTTTCTGGTGTACCACAAGTCACGTTAAAACTTGCAGCGTTGCACCCATTTGCAGACTCTTTGTAGACGACTTGGTGGTAGTATTGTCGACCCAGCGTTACCCTCAGGCTGCCATCACCACGACAGGCTAGTTATGTAGCTGTGCTGATTCGAGAATAGTATACCAATCGACCATTTAAGTCGGGCAGAGGGCATGCTGCTGAAATCTGCAAAGTACAAGCTGTGCGAAGTGTGCATGATACTGCTAGGGGTGTACAGCTTTGCACACCGTTGTTGTTCAACATCCTAACCCCCGCCATCACAGATTATCGCAAACCAGCGCGCCGAGAAGATCCGGAGGTTGCAGAACCAGCTTGGGTGTATCGAGGTAGGTGCTGCGGTCATTTTTTGTCAGTGTATGTGGGTAGTTGATACATATGGAGACACGTGACGGGATGGCGATACGCGCAGCGGAAGGCCGCGTATCTCAGATGCTCTGGCCGTGTCCTGTGTCACCGAGAAAGGTTTCTCGTGCCCACCACCGTGCTTGTCGTCAGCGGCAGATAAAGCCCGTGTTGTGGGATGTGGCCAACACCGCCACGTGCACACTGCAGTACGACTTGTGCATTCTCGATGCATTTTCTATCGCCCGCGGTACAACAATAGACGTGTGAGCACCTCGAGCTCTCCAGTGTGCCGCCGGACTTGGCACTCATGGTGGTCCTACGTCGCCTGTCGTGCCCGGGTTGCTGTTCTTTTAATGCAACCCGGCAGGGAAACTTCCTCGGCCAGTTGGAGGTCCACAACGAACGCGCCGACGCCGCGGAACAGCAGGCGCAACTAGCGGAACGGCGGACGCGTGTAGTCGAAGCGAGGGCTCGGGCCGTTGACGAGCGAATGAGGGTGGCCGAGGAGCGGGCGGCTACCGCCGAGGAAAGGGTTCGTATCGCCGAGGTGCGTTTGTTTCGTTTGTTGTGGGTCCGAGGTCTTTCTTTTACTCCCTATTTGATCTTGACGGTTTTGTACGGAAGAATGCTACCAGGGGTGGCACCGGACGTGGGCGCCTCATGGGCCATGGTGTGTGCACATGTTGGCTGTGTCAATGGAAGTGTTGACCATCTCTCGGGAACCAACCGTCGTTAGCAAGACAAGAGCTAATTGCTTTCCGTACGCTACGTGTACCAAAACAAGTATTCCATGGCAGGCAAAAATTGCCACCCCCGACCACCGCCATAGAGCAGCAGCTCACGCCCTAGACACGCGCTATCGACGTCTGTCTGTTGATTTCTCTCCCGAGCTGAAGCCACTGATAGTCTCTGCGCTGTTCACCCCCATTGTCACACGTCGTCAGGCGGCGATGGCCCGTCTTGCGGAAGAAGCCGTAGAGCGTAGCGCCGCCGGACCCCCGCTGATGTCTTCCATCGGGGCCCTGGCGACCGCGCCCCAGCAAGAAGCCCAAGGATCGCCGGCAACGCCTAGGCTTGCGGACCTGATGCGCAACTGGCAGCAGAACAAGTGCCGCGACGCTTTCGTTGCGCGAATGCGCGACGGCTTCAAACTCCAGCTGCGAGCCGCGAGGGATGCTCTGGCTCCCGGGAGCGGTATGCTGGGCGCGGAAGAGGAGCTTGGGCATGGCACCTTCGGAGGCGTCTACAAGGCCGTCTGCGACGCGACGAAGACGACGTGGGCCATCAAGAGACCCATGAAGGCGAGAGCGAGTTGGAGGGCGTGCTTGTGTATGGGATAGTCTGGCCGCCATGAGACATGAATTTGTATCTGCAGGGTTCACTGCAGACTTGGGACTGGTTTTCTGCTGATATCACAGGGGAATGCGCCGACTTGTGTGGTTTGTACCCCGCCAGACGAGGTAAAACACAACCTTTTCCCCCTCGATCAAGCCATGACTCCTGACACCGCCCCCGAAGTTAAAAGAGTCCTCCTAGCAGCTGTAGACTCCGCATGCGGCAGCAGTTGCCCACTAATCAAGAGCAAAGGGTTGTGAATGACGGGACCCCCCCCCCCCAACCCCCCATGTCTCGTCAACCCTCATCTACAGGAGATGGACAAGGAATTCCTGATACACGAGATGCTTGTGTACAGCAGGTGAGTGCGAACATCGTCGATACACCTCGTCCGAAACGAGGGGCGAACAACGCACCAAGATCACGCTCCAAAGTACTTATATACAGTGTACTCTTCTTTCAAGCTGCCAGTCGAGTCCATCGTAGCTGAGTGCCTGAACAGCCCCCCTGTCGCGGCTGCTAGCCACCGTGGCCATGCTCCTGGAAACGGCTAGCTGTTTTCTCAGTATCAAATATTGTGCCACCCTTGCCTTGTGCTTATGTGTTTTTTTCCTGTCCTTCCCTTTGGCCTACCGGTAGCCTCCCCGCCCACACCAACATCCTCGGCGTGCGAGCCATTTACGACATCTCCTCCTCCCCGGCCTTGGCGCTGGAGTGCGGCGAGTGCGACATGTTCGACGCACTTTTCGGAGGGCGGCTCTCGTTTCCGGACGAGTTGGAGTGAGTGTATCCAGATCAACTCATCAAGCCCATGCCCAAGCTTTCACTACCTCTAGGACTGAGTACGGCCGTGTGATTGCTGCCCAACCCTACAATATAGTTTTTTCAGACCGACGCTTCGGAAATTGTTCTCGCCGCAGACAAGGACTCTCGCAAAATGTATGTTCTCGTGAGTTTGAACTGCTGTTACCGAGGCAATGCTCCGAGAACGTGCCCCAGCGACAACCTTTAGCACGTGTCACCAGTCTGCACAAGCGCTACCTGACAGGTCGTGTATCGCCTGATGAGTGATAGTCTGTTTGGCTCATGTCCACCGTCCAACTGTCGCCTTGCTATCTGTCCTTCTCGCCTTCGCACGCCTCTCTTTCTGTTCCGCCCAGCTGCCTGGCGGACGTCGTTGCTGGCACGAGGCACTGCAACGACAACGGGGTCGTCCTCTGCGACCTCAAGTTCTCCAACGTCATCCTCGTGCATAACGGGGCCCGCTACGTCGCCAAGGTGTCGGACTTCGGACTATCGTGCGGTGAGTGGAGGGAAAGACGAAATACACAAGCACATACCTATGCGTGAACAGCTACTGCTGTTGCACCACAGCTTACGCCCAAACTCTGCCGTTTAGGCTTTTATGTCGGGCGCGCTTTTTTGCGGTTCACCGGGTCGATTCTTAACACTGGTCCGTGTCCACGCTGTCTGCTGATGGCGGTATTGAGCCTCATTTTCCGTACCCTATTGTTGCTTTCAACAAATTGACATTTTTGCGACATGATTGTTACAAAGTATTCAAAGGGTTAACAACTCGGTAACGCTTTTTTGGGCGGACGGACACATTTTCGGTGGTAGCGCCATATGGCGGTATTCATTTCGGCGGTAGGCGGCAATGCGTTATTCGGCGGTAACGACTTTCCGGAAGCGGTAGAACCAAATGAACAGCAGGATAATATCATAGGGCAGGTTTGTTTGAGGCGTAGACAAAGGCGTAGACAAAACAAACCGAGGTTTATTGAAACAACTCGAATTGCCATACTGTTTATATTGGGGTACCCGGAACGCATTGCGTACTTCGAAAGAAAACAATAAATGCGGTGATATGTAATATATCCTTGACGGTTGTACGCATAGGGTCAGCATGACACGTTCTCAGGGAAAACGTACATATCTCTATCTTGGAACATTGTTGCTATCCACAGCAGCACAGCGCAGCACCTGAGCCCCCCTCGAACAATATGTATGTGCCGATGCCCAACGGCACCCAACTCATGTGGGTTTCCTTCTCTGGGCATGGTGGTGCGTGGTGTTAATCGATACTCTCATCGAACCCTCTACCCTCTCCCCCCACTGACGCCGTTTCACTCCTCCCGCTGTCGCGTGCTTGCAACACACCCGTGACTGGTTGTTTATTTGCCATGTATCTCAGCAATCGGGCACAACAGGTACCCCCGGTGCGGAACTCCCGGCTACTTTCCCCACGAGGTCTCCCTCGAGCACACCGTTGCTGAACCCAGCACGGACGCTTTCTCTGTAGGGGCCATGCTGGCCATCCTCGCCTTGCAGCCCAAGTTGCGGGAGGAGAACGTTTTCTGCCACAAGGCGAGTACGGTGATGATGTCGCTGCGGTGTTTGCGTCGTTCGGAAACTCGACGCAAAGATGGACGACTTCTTGCCTGACAGTATTGGAGGTTCAAGACTTTTCACTAATCACGTGCCACCAAGTACGGCCGTGGGCTTGCAGCCATGCCTGTGTTCGTCCTACCAGCAAACCGGAAATACTCGGCGCCCTGAGCACAAAACATTACGAAACAACTCGATTACTTAATGTACGTCACGTGATTTCACCGGCCGGTGCTACACCGGGTAGTGTATGGGTTTACCACCGGCGCGACGGCATGCTCCGGATCCTGTACACGTTGTTTCCACCCAGGATTCCGATAAGATCGCTCCATTTCCATTGTTGTTTCCACCGAATCGTTAGTCGAGCAACCTTCCGTCCGTACGATTCTCGTCTCATCGCCTTACTACCCATAGCCGTCGAGATCTGTCTCTTTGAGAACGTTGGTTAGGAAACGAACGAGAGTTTGTGTGTGTGTTCTTGAGTGAATCGCCGGCAACATTTAGCCAACTCAGCAGATGTCCTCCAAGCCCTGTGTCTGGCAGGATCTTCACCGGCACACGCCCAACCCTACCCTTAGCTCCCGGTGTATTTATCCGTGCCAACGTGTGTGTAACCGTGCTGTTCGGATTGCTGCGTCTCGGTTGGATGCGACCACTGTTGCAGATGTTCCTAACACCCGAGGAGGCCCTGCAACTCCCACAGTTGGCGCAAGCGGAGTTTGACAGCTACAGGGAACGCCAGGTGAGTCCCACACATTCATCAGTAACAGCCAACAGTCGACCATCCTACGTAGATACGGATAGAAAAATTGCGCTCGCTCGCGTTCGTGCAAACAGAGTCCATACCACCACAAGGGAGTACACCAGTACGCGCTTGTCTGGGTGTTGTGAGCACGGGAGCGTGGACACAAAGGCGGTCATGCCTGTACACGTAGGACAGCATCCGACGCATTCCATCCGTTTCCCCCCGTGTTGTGTCGTCGATCAATGGCGTGTAGGCCGTGCTACACCAGCAGCAGTATCAGTCGCGATCAAGGATCTTGTTCACCCCTGTTTCTTTCGCCGACAGTGTTTTTCGAAGAAGGATCACCCGCATGGAGACCTCTCTTTTTTTGCTCTTGGCGCCAAAACGGTCCTCTTCTCGTGTGTCGCTCTTTCCCGGCGTATTTTGCTGGGACCACCGATATGCAGGAGGAGATAGCGTACCGTACCATGCTACTGCCCAACTCCGGCTTCGCCAAGAAGGTGACGCGCCCGGCCGTCGTCAACACGATGCCGGGAACGCAACTGGTGAGCTGAGCAATGACCGAACGCAGTGTCGGATGCCCACCATGGGGCGACGCGTGAAAATGACTACCTGTACAGGTTTTACTGCCTGCGTATGCTCCCGCTGCTGCTCATGTTGTTTTCAGGCCGTCACTAGAGACCACGTATGGAGAATGTTGTTGTAGAGTCACGCTGTCGTATGTCGGTGACGGTAAGTTAGACAGAAAGAACACACGCTGCAGTGTGAGTCGTGGAGACACTGAATTGACATCATACGTGTAGACGGCCACAACGGTTTCGTTGCCCTAGATCGTCTGGGCATGGTTCCGTACGACCGTTACCCTGCCTCTCAGGTCGTCCGCCTCTTATGCCTCGGATTTTCCACGGACTCTATATCCATCGCTACAACCATACCGACAACAAAACAATCCCCCCCCATCTTGCCCACGCCCGCGTTTGTCTTGTCGTCAGACCAACATTCGGAAGCTGGTCCGCACCACCACGTCCGCCAACCCCGCGCATAGGCCCACCATGGCCGAAATCGCGCCACAAATTCTCGCTGTGGCTTCGGCCGTGCGCCTCGCGATGCAGCAGAACGCCACGCCGGTTGCTTCAGCAGCGACGGCGGCAGCGGCGGTTTCAGCGGCCCTTCCGAGCGGGGACTTCGAGGAAGTACAACCGCCGGCTCATGCCAGCACCGGCAGCGCGGTGGCAGTGGAGGCCGGCCAGGCGGATGCAGCAGGGCTGGTGGCGGTGAACGCGAGCGCCGACGTACCCTTGGCTGCCATCCTTTACGGAGACGCATTGCTTGCGGGCGGCGGCGGTGGCAGCAGCGGACGCGGCGGTGGCGGTGGGCGCGGCGACTCTGCAGGGGGCGCCCCCGCCGTCGGGAGTGGTGTTGGTGGCGGCCTGGGCGGCGGGGACAGCACCGGAGGCGGCAGGAGCGCCGCCAGCGCTGCAGTCCCCCGACAAATGGGCGCCGAGGCACAGGAGGCGGTAGCGGCGGCAGAGGGCAGAAGTGCGGAGGCGGTCAGAGGAGGGGGAGGAGGAGGCGGATCTGAGGCAAGCGGCCGGGCAGGAGAGAGGGCCGTTGGAGATGCCGTTGGAGGACAAGGCGCAGGCATGGGACTCGAGAGGCTAGAGGGTCGGTATGGAGCCATCGACCACCCTCCCACCGGACGGCGCAATTCTTCGTCTCCGCGCGCACACTTGGAAGGGCTCCTGCAGGGTGCCACCGGCGACGGATTTGGGGCCAGGGCACTCTTGCGCTCAGCCCCCGCGGCGGCTGATGCCGTCGAGCAGGCGGTGGGTGCGGCCGACATTTCGGTTTCTAACGCACCCTCTCCGGCGGATGTAGCAGCAGCAGCAGGAGCAGCGGGCCCGGTGGGCTCGAACATCGGTCCGATCCCAGCAAGCTCCATCTTTGCGGCGGTTCCGGTACCGGAGAGCGGCGACGGTGCAGGCTTTTCTGCCCCCTCTTCCGTTGGAAGCCTCGGCAGCGAGGAAGGGGTCGCCGGCGATGGGCCCGGTGACGAAGGAGGCGGTGAATTGGCTGACCCACAAATGGCAAGCATCCCCGAGGCGGAAGAGGATGAAGGAGACGGTGATGGGTGGGAGTGGGGCTGGGAGTTCGATGGAGATGACGGGGACTGCAGTGCGGCCGTGGGGTTCGGTGCGTAGGTCAGTAACCGGAGGCAGAGGGACAGTCCACGTTCCCGGTTCGGAGGAAGCACGATATCCCACCTCGCTCGCATTCCGAGGGCCTGATCGCAATAAAGGCAGCGAGTCAGAGTTCTGAGTGATACTTTCACAAAGGAGGGGAAGGCATTCGGGTGCCGTTTCCACTCTTCGCTCGACGGCTTGTTCTTCTCTGTTGTTCGCAAGCAAGGGGTGCGCTGAAAGCACCATTTCTTAGGGTTTGGGGGTGATTTAACAACACTCAGAGCGTTGTGCACGGTGTTTTATGGCGTGATATCGATATTCATTGTCTTAGGTTTGTCTCATGAACGCCGCTACCCGGCTCGCTTGGCTATTTATGACATTTACTCTCGTACTTACTTCAAATTCGAAGACTTTATTTTATTACCCTTCCTTGTCCTCTAGTACCCCGTTGGCTTGCATGACGTTGATTAAGCTGTTAATCACGTTTGAAGCCGTGTTGTGAAAAGAAGTTGTGGGGAGGGCGTGTGGGGCATGAACTTTGAGGGGTGGGAGGGAAGGGGGGGGGGGGGGGTCGGTTGCGCCCATTCGGAATTAAGTGATGTGGTGGTATGTAGACATGTCTACGAAAGGGGATCCGCGGTGTGTATGTGTTTGTGTTATGACGGGTTCAGATATTACCTCGAGTACAGTTCCGAAGTCACGAAGGATGTGTGGGGGAGACGTGTGGCGTGAGTACGTCCGAGGGGGGATAAGATGGGAATGAATAGTGCCCATCGAAAGCAGATGTGATGGTAGAGACATTTTACGAGGAGGTGGGTATGCCCGCTGAAAGGGTGCCTTGATCGAGTAGGCACGACCTATGATGCATATGTATGTCTACCAGCGAAATTCAGAGGGTGCGTACGGTTTTGGATTTGGGAACTATGTAGACCTATTCATTTACACGATTTACAATGTGATCATCCGTGTTGCTATTAATAGGCGTCTCCTTGGCGATTCCTAGGTGGTGAGTTTCGACTCGATTTTGCTTTTTCCAAGACACTGCTCTTGAAGCAACGATAGGTTTTGAGTATGCGTATTTAATATCACCTGCCCTTTGTGTGGGTGACGTGAGCTGTTGTGGGTAATCGCCGTAAGTGCGATGACCAAAGACGACGGGTGTCAGGGTACCTTAATTTTCCTGTGTGCTAGTCCCTTGTGAAGGTGTGCCGAGTTGTGACAATAGTGGTGCCGCCGCAAATCCTGAGACAGACGTGACAAAAAGTGGTATCTTGTGGGGCTTGCTCTCCAAGCCAAAAAATGCACTTGATAATGGTTGCGTGGACTCTACTCTGACGCCGTATCGTATGCCGTACAATATAGATATGAAACGGTCGTAGTAAGTTGTTCACAAACACACATGCCAAGCAGGTGCTAGGAAATATGTTTGAACCTTTGTGTGCGCCTTGCTTGTTGTGTTACTGAGAACTGCAAAACTATTGTTGGACAGAGGGCGGGTGATGAATTTTGTTGCGTTAGTTCACGTTTTTACAGGCGTGACGAGCAGCAGCAGGAACAAGCGTCCAGACATCTGGTGGTGTACACTAGGACGTTCGTGGTATGTTCTCCTGGTGAACGACTGGTGAATTAACGTTCGGTAGAAGTAGGTGATCAAATTTGGTCACAATTATGGGGGACGGCGGCACAGGATGGGTTGTTTTTTTTCAAGTTGTAAGCCCTGTTCTGCATGATATGCCGTTGAATGGGAATAGAGTGTTCTGGCCTGGCGAGGTTTGTACGGCGGTGCCTTGAAAGAAGGGAGGAACGGTGAAGGCTTTGCATCAGGCATGCGATGTGCTGGTCTGGTTGTTCACGCACAGTGGTGCAAGAAGGACTGGCTGCGTTTACAGTCGGTAATATTGTTGGGCAGAGAGTGGGTGATTTATCTGTTTGGTTGTGTTCACGTTTTTACAGAAGTGATGAGCAGCCAAAGGAACAAGTGTTCAGGTTTTGGGAGTGTAAGGCCGTCGTGTCATGTTCTCCTGCTGAACGACTGGTAAATTAACGTTGGGTAGAAGTAGGTGATAAGAATTGGGTCACTAAAAAGGGGGGCGGGCGGCGCAGGATGGGCTGTTTTTGTCAAGTTTTAAGCCCTTCCTTTTCTGCATAATATGCCGTTGAATGAGAAGTAGAATATTCTGATATCCTTCGCATGTGAAGCTTGTACGGCGGTACGGCGGTGCCTTGAAACAAGGGGAAAACGATGAAGGCTTTGCAGCAGGCGGGCGTTGTGCTCATCTGGTTCTTCACGCAGTTTGGGGAAGCGAGATTTAACGTTGGGTAGAAGTAGGTGATCAAATTGGGTCACAAAAAGGGGGCGGGGGGCGGCGCAGGATGGGTTGTTGTTTTCAAGACTCAAGCCCTTCTTTGAATACTATGTTGTTGAATGGCAAGTACAGTACTTTGATATCCTTGTTTGGACGGTGGTGCCTTGAAACAAGAGAGAAACGGTGAAGGCGTTGCAGCAGGCGGGCGATGTGCTGATCTGGTTGTTGCCGCGGTTAGGGGTGGCGCAAGAAGGGCTCCGTTTACAGTTTTATTAGTCCTTTAGTGCATGTGCCCGGGAAAATATAATATTGATACCTTGGTTGTAGAATAACATTTGGGAGGTGACACTTCACCACAGGCAACCCGCTGTTCTTACGGGTGCATGGCCCGCGCCAGAGTGAACATGTATTATTCAGTTTGCGGCTGCGCCGCGTAGCAACGTACGTACAACCGCCTGACCACGGCGGTGTGTGTGTGTGTTGCTTCCATGACAGCAGAATGTTCACAAGGACGAAACCGGCCTGCTGTAGCTGGTTATGTGTGGTCCATCGCTCGACAAGTATCCCGACGAGCCACATTTGTGTCGGAAAGCAAGAAAGCACGAGACCCAAGACGCGTCTGAACATGAGCCGATTGTATCGTGTTGTCCAGCTTTGAAGACGGAGCAGCATGTTTCATGCCATCAAATGTGCATTCAAAACACCCCCCCCCAACCCGACGAGATAAACTTTATCTTCGTATTCTTCGCGCCATCCGCGACAAGTCAACACACTGCTGTGAAGTAAATATAGCGGATTCGAGCTCGCGGCAAGAGATTCGCGTCATTTTACCCAGATTTTTTCAGTCATCCGTTGTTGCCACATCTCTAGTAATTTGTATCCATCTTTCGGACTCGCCGCTCAAACGGAATACCTCCCGTCCGGAGCCACACAGACAAAGCCACTTCTGCAACCAACCACAGCCAACCTCGGCCATCTAGTTTGCTCCGCAAACAAGAGTGCTGCCGCATGATTACCCGCATGGTCGTATCCTAATAACGTTTGTTCGCCGCGTACACACCGCCAATTGTGCTTCATGCAATTTTGTTCGCGGCACCAGGCACTTCGAGCATGCGCAGGACTGCATAGCAAATGGAAACGAAAGATCGACACATGACTACGTTCACATATCCCACACAGAACCGGGGCACAGGGACATGCTTGCCTGCGTTGCGCTTGTTTCTTCTGCAGAAGGGCAAAACTTGAAACTACGTACATGTCAGTATTAGATACAGAATCTCACGCGTCTTCATTCTTCCCTACCGTACAACTACATAGCTCGGGTTAAATAGTCCCCGAGTTGTGTGCGTTGCCAGCTATGGGGAGAAGGTACGCAATCATGGAGAAAGGAGCAGAGAAGGGGTATGACGATAAGGTGATGAAGGGGCAGAGTGCGGCACAATAACCTGTTCGGGGGGGAAATTCGGACCGTTTGGTTCTCAGGAGAACCACACCAAGCCATGCAGCGAGAGCAGAGAGCTGAGAGCTGAGAGCTGAGAGCAGCAGCAGCGGAGAGCAGAGAGCACCGCAGTACAAAGGACGAAAGAGCAGCAAGAGAGAAGAGAGACAGAGAGCGAACGAAGAGCTGGCCAAGCGGCCGAGTCTCAACGTGCGTAGAGTTCCCCTTTTTCTAGCCCAGCCTTGGGCTCCAACCCCGCCCTGCGAACGAGGAAGAAACCTAGACTACAGCTCTTGTAGCTGTATCGGGTTTGTACTCTCCTCGCCAGCTAACACGCTTCCATCGCTGGAGGGACGGCAATCGCCGAATCCGATATCAACACTGCTGTCTGTGTGAGAGAGGCGCACCAAGGCTTCCCATCATGGCGTCCGTATCGTGGGATGACGAGGAGGAGACGGCGGCGAGCAACGTTCGATGGCAAGGGAGAACACTCATTAACTTTGTGGCTGGAAGATCCAGACTGCGGACGCTGCCGGTTGTGATCCACATTCTGCCAAAGGATATCGGGTGGTTTTCGGCGGTGAGGTTGTCGTTCATTCGTGCATGAAAGCAATAGCCTCTGTTTGAGTTTTTCAGCTTCGTTCATGCGTTGAGCTCCGTGGCACAAAAGACATTTCATGTCGCCCGGATGACACTCAGTGCGTGGAGAAGACAATCCCCCCCCCGCCGCCGCGCGCCGTTCTGGATCTAGAGAAGTGGCTGGATCACCCGTCAGAGGTGACCAGCTCGACCTCTGTTGGCACTACCTATTAGCAATGAATCAACAGTATCGATGCATGTACGCTCGGCATACAAAGACCCCGAAAACAACGATTGTAGTGGATCTCTCTCCCTGTTCCTGTGGCGTGCCTGGTTCTGGCCTCTAGGATGCGTCCCTCTTCGACGAACTCAAGCTGCTGCTCCGAGAGCGTGTGATCTCCGCCACCGGCAATGGCGACAAGGACGCCGAAGCACCCAAGTCCCGAAAGCGCGCCCGAAAGGAGGAGGTGTGCATACAGGGCGAACGGCTTCAGTTCACGTACCGTTACAGAAAAACCTTGCCCAGGTGAACGAGCGAATGAGGAACTACGCCGTGCGTATTGCCCTGGACGTGTGGGCGTGCTTACCTTGTACAAGTTTTGAAAAGATTCGGGCCGATTTGACTGACTTTGGCGGGGTCGACTTGTTGCGCCGCACAACTGATACCCCTTCCATGTTGAGAAGCAAGCACTAGGTAGGCCAGGAGAACTTTTTTTCAGCGCCTGTACGGTGTGTGCTTGTGAAAGGTCAGATTTTCTACGTTTGCTTGCTGGCACATGTTTGTGGAGTATGGCACATGATGCAACACGTATCGTACTTGCGTTTCAGGTACACTGTTCTGTCTTACACCGGAGACGACATCGAGCGCGCCAATAGAGGCAGCAGCTCCGCGGGAAGCAGCAAAGGAAAACGTTGTGTTGGTAGCAATAGCAGCGGCGGCGGCGGCGGCGGCCCAGCGTTCCGCCACCTCCCCCTCTCGGAGAGCACGCTGCTGGTTTGGGTATACCCGTTCGACAAAGATGACCCATACCGGCCGGTTCCGAACGAGGCCGCCCTGCAGTTCGCATCCTCGACATCAACGCCGGCGGCAGCGGACCAAGAAGCGCTTGACGTCGAAGCCATCGGGAGGCGTTCGGGAGCGGGGACAGGGGCGACGGTTGACGTTCAGGGGGGTCCGCGAGATACCGGTCTGTTGACGTGGTTGTGGGGAGTCGGGGGCGAGGGAGGCGGCAGCGCAGCAGGAGGTGTGAAGGGGGGCGTGAGGCAGCACTTCATCGGCAGCGCCTCGTGGCAAGGAAAATCACCCTCGGAGCAACGACGAGAAGAAGATGACGACGATATTCAGCGAGCCATTGCCTTGTCTCTCGCGGTTGAGCCGAGAGCGGAGGGCGGCGGGGTAGAAGAGAGCAAAGGGTGACTGATCTGAAAGTATCTTGAGCAGCACTTCCCTGCGAATGTGTGTATGACTATTGCAGCCGTCGGGCTTCTCCAATGTAAGCCGTGGATCACGGTGCATGCTGCAAGAGCCTGTCGGTGGCATTCCAAAGTTCCCTGATGACCCCACCGGGGCTGTTTCGCTTTTAAAGTAGGGCTTACTCCAAGTCCTTCGCTTGCCCAGCAATTCTTTTCCTGGGATTCGAGGGCTGCGGCACGCTTTACGGGAGTCCTCTTATCAGTAGTGAGTGGAGTGTGCCATGGGCAGTACCGGGCAGCGGTGCATGGCCGAAGCAGGGTTCGCGTGCATTTGTTGATGCCGCCTTCGTTGCTGCGCACATCCCCATGTAGACGGTCGTATTTTGTCTTGGGGAAGAAACAGCCATCGGCTGCACGGCTGTTTTTACGGCTTCAACAATCGAACCACGGTCAGCCACGTTCTAGAAAAGGAGTTCAAAGGAAACGTGCAGGACGGAAACAAAACTTGTAAACTACAATCCCACAATACCAGGTGAAACAACACTAGCCGTTGTTCCAAATGATCTCCACGCCGTTTGCCGAGCTCGATTGCACCGCCAGCAGAATAGAGCTACCGGTAAGACGCCCCACAAAGGAAAATCGACACTACTGTTCCAACAAATACCAAAACAGCAGCGACATACTCCCGAAATGCTACTTGCAAGTATTTAATTACTTGGGCACACTGCTGTCCGGCTTGGGCATCTTGACATCCAGCAGCCCCCTTCCCTTGAGCTTGGGGTCGAACCGGATGCTCTCCTTCACCCCCCGCTCCTCCAAGATCTGCCACGGGCAGCGTCCACGGCACAAAGATAGAAGGGGAGAAGAATCAGCAATCGTGTAAAGGACCCACATCATGATCGATCTCTTTTCCTCTCGTTTTCTTTCCCTAGTGTCGAACGAGACTATCATAACAGGTCTAAAACGTCCTTTCATACACACAGTTGGCAAAATTGTGTCGAAAGTGCGGCGCTCCAAACGCGTACTGGAACAACAGCACTGGTGTAGCAACTACAAGCAACGGGTGTGCGTATTTCCTTGCTGCGCAACCGGCACATCAAACACGCACAGGGGACCAAAAAGAGCTGGCCGCCGGTAAGGATCTGCATGATAGTCTCAAAGGCTCGTCGAAGACAACGAGAAGATATACAACGGTCTGGACAGCGGTGCCGGAAAGAAAAAGATCAGAAAAGGAGCTTTGCGAGAAGAAATAACGATCCCAAGAACGGCCCGCAAAATGACGCGCACGAACCTCCAGAATTTCGTTCTCGAACCGGCCCGCGATTTTCTTGAGCCCCCGGTCTTCCTTCCCCTTTTCCTTCCACTCTGCTACGACGGCCAGGTCCTCCTCGGTGAACAACGGGACCACGTTGATGGCGTGTTCCCACACCGCCTTCAAGGACAAGAAAAAAGAAGCAACGGCGGGTTGTTAATATTAATAGAAAGTTTGGCAGAGAAACGATGCCATCATTCCATTCGCTGAAAAAGGGAACATGACCAACACATTGTGCGCACTTGCTCGGAGAAAAAAAATGGACGGTCTCGGCTTGGCCCACGATGAAACATGTGGTGTTGCTGTTCGCTGAATTTCCGGTCAAGACTTGACGACAGTGGCGCACACAAGCTGCTTGTCCTTGAACATTTGGCCCGTGCTCTGATGGATAGCCGGACGAGCATCCCCAGAGAGGCTGGCATGTCGTAAAAAAAGAACAAGGCACTTGTGAGGACCATCACATCCAAAGGTTGCAGCACCACCGCACCTGACTGGCTTCGTCAGCGTTGCCGTCAGGCGTAGAACCGTTCTCCTCTATCCAAGACTCTTTGATGATTTCCAGCAGAGATCGGCTGGGTCGCGTGATGTTTTGCACCTGCACCAATCACACGGGACAAGAAACAACGTGGTGTCAAGACTTTGCCACTGAACACCTCCAAATGACAAAATAACCCAAACATCACCTTATGGGTATTCAGGTATATTGCTGGGAAAATTACAACTCTGGCCACTGACGCCAGCCACCAACAAACAAGGATACACTAGCCCACCGCGAGCATCGTAATTTGGGCGGCGGCGCGCGTTAGCACGCCCTCTCCCTTCTCGAGCAAAGCTTGAGAAAGACACATGTTGACCTTTGACAAACAACAAATACCTCCATCTGGAAGCAACAAGAGTTGCACTACACTTCGGCGCATGGATCCAGCAGAAACCAATGGCCTTTACCAAATGACGAAAACATCTCCCGCAAATGAATATATTGACTTTGAAAACCGTCGAGAAAGGACGAGGACGCACACCTTGAAGTAGTACGTGTCCTTTGGACGGCGGGCCAGACTCAAGCGGAGGCTCTGCTGAATCCCGCGCGACACTCCGATGTACCGCAGTGTCTTGGACTGCGGGATGGGTTGTGGCAGCGACGTGGTCGAGAAACGACAAGGGCACGAGCCGTGTTAAACAGCAGTCTGTCAAGGGCAATCTCGGTGTAGTGCGGAGTCGCGTTGTTCGCAGCGGTGCTATGCGCGTCACATGCATCAAGCGTCTTTGAACTCTCACGGACCCCCTCATTTCATCAAGGTGAAGTCACACAGAGCAGAGCGGCCCAACCCAACAACCATTGCCACCGCCGTCAAGACACCTACAGCAGTGCACGGTGGGTAACAAATTTTTCCGCGTGGACCCCGAGCTTTCCGTAAAACATCACTGCACCCCCCCCGGACGCGCTAACATCTAAACCTTGATCGATCCACAACACCAAAAGAGCATCGTAACGATACTGATCTGGGTGGCTCATATCCGGAACGTTATCACCGGACATGTGAAAAAACGATCGCCAAGAGGCAATTACTGAAATACGGTTTTTGGCCATGTGTGTTGTCAGGATTTTCTGGACTAAATAATGTTTTCGTCGATTATTGGTGTCACCGGTGTCTGCGACGGAGGCCTATTCTTTCTATCTTTACATGATCTCGGTGCAGACGCTCCCTCCGTATGAGTATGATCTCCGTAGAGAGGGAAAATTTACGATCACAACGACGACAACCGCAAACTAAAGACCCCTTCCCTGCTGCAGAACGCCGACGGCGGACAAAATCGGCTGGTACAGGGGTTTGCCCCGCTTACAGTGGCACCGCAGTCTGCACCACCTGTGCGCAGACAGGCGTGTTCCTCACCTCGTCGTAGACTGCGTAGACGCTAGCCTTGACGCCCTTCGTGTCTATCGAGGCCACCTTCCCGTCCTTGTCCAGGAAGGAATGGAACTCCAGGTCAGCCAGGGGGGTCACGGCGGCATCCCCTCTCGCCGCCGCCTGTCGCGTCTGCTCCTTTATCTGTCGCCCGGGGAGAGAGAATCGGCAACAAGAACACGCCAAAAATCAATCATGGCAATAAGGCACACAAGCATCAACTCTGACATCCATTGCCGTGTAGACATCACCCATTGCCCGGTATCCCTTGCCCCACGACTCAACAATACCAAAGAGAGACCGCGCGGGGGAGGACTGGGGAATTCTAGCTCTTAGCGTAGCACGCAAGAGTGGACCCAACGGTCATACCGGCCAGACCTCGCCCCTCGCATCATAGCCTTCCGGCCGGGTTCTCACGACTCTTAATCATAGTTCTGGTTGCCAAGAACAACTTGAGACCGTGCGTAGGTCCCGCCAGTCCCAACGAGAGCTGTTGCTGAGGACTGGCCAAGGCCGACGTTTTCCGACCTGGTCTCACCGCATAGAGATACTTGTGCGCACCTTAGCTTTTCGGTTGGCCTCGTACTCCTCTTGGACCCTGGCTAGCTCCGCCTTCACGTACCTGTTCAGATTGAAAAGAGAAAACATAAACTGCAACTGTCAAACAAAGTGGGCCAATTTGAAAGCTTGGTCATTGCAGCACGTGAAAGGTGTTCTAGAAGTATAGCGATTAACGCATACGTTGCTTCACAACTCTCTCCCATGGACGCGAAACGCTGTTTCTAGATGATCTTCGTGGATGCGTATCGCAACGTATCTGTAGGATCGACGGTGGCAACAGACAGTCAATTTCAAAGCACTGCTGTAGACGTGGGCAACGTAGTGCCAGCGCGGTCGCGGCCTAGGTTTAGTCACCAGCCAAGACAGGAATATCACCTTCGTGTAGAGAGAAACATGTGTAGCCAACAAAGGCACGCGCTGGACTAGAGAAATGTCTGCTGAAGAAAGCTGGTTTCCTCGCGAAACTTCACCACAAGCCGTAAGCTGGTGGAAAACCTTCACAGTGAAGTACTTGCGCACGATGCACCCAACCTTACGGCGTCAAGCACCCCCCGCTGGGTCTATGCCGTTGGTAGACAGTATCAAGAGCCGCCTTCCCGACCGAGGTTTCTCTCTACATGTACACGTATTCACGGCGTTTCGTGGACAGCGAGGATACGTTGCTCCTGCGTGTTAGTGGAGCATGCGCCGGACAAGGCTGTCGTCACACAGCTACAGCTTGTTCCTGTCGGATTTGTTTCTCTTGTCACCAAACAGCGGTATTTCGATACTACGCTACAGACTAATAGAACACAAAAAAAAACACAACCAATTACGGCAAACTTGGTGCCCATGGAAAGCCACGAAAGCAAGCAGCAGACAGCAGTGTCGGTGTGTTTGTGTGTTTCTTCGGCAAGCGTCGACAGTGCCAACCGACTGATCAATCAAATGGCATCAGTCTGGTCGAGGGATAACAACAAACGCGACGAAACACGCTTTCTTTACTTGTACAAAGATGACTTGACATACTTGTATTAGGAACAATAAATACATTACAGAAAGACTACCCGTTCGAGATATGCCCACAGCAGTCTTGAAATAGGAGAAGACGAAAGAATATCTACTGCATCGTGCTCCTCCTGCTGTGTCTATGGTTGTGCTGAGCCCACTACCACTCAGTTGAATGCTCTCCGCTAGACTACTCTTCGCTCCACATATTGCCCAACTGCTGTCTATCTGGCGTAGCTTGGTCATGACGATGTTCCTCCCTGCGACTTCGCTCTTCGTTTCTCAGCGAGTCTCAGGGTCTACAGCAGTACCTCAGCACCAATACCCGGAGGTCTACCTACTCCTTTCGCGGGTTGTCGTTGTTTAGGTTGGATGGAACACATCCATCATGGATTGAAACCCCAACTTTCCAATTGCAACTTCTTTTTTGTGTCGATTGACCTCGACAATGCTCCTGCGGATCAGTACTTGATGCAATCCCGGCGCGGGCATGCTCTGGGTTGTTCGGAGGTGAAGTTGCAGTTCAAACGCCAAAAGTGCGAGTGCGAGACATACGACGAACGACCCGGCTCCAAATCATGCTCCCTTGAGGAAGTGAAATACTCATACACAGCCTCTCGTTAAGCATCCTGCTTCGCCACTACCCCAGAGCCCCTAAGCGTACTTTGTATGTACATGACATGATCTCATCGCACTTTTGTATGCACGCATGCACGCAGACCGTCGCCTGCGGTTGGCAGGAGAGCTGGGAAACCCACACAAGATCACAGGATGGCATGCGAGGGAAACGGGACACCACCATGACCACCATACTTCATGCTTACTCTGCGCTCTGGTCCAGCTCCGAATTCGTGGCCATACACAAGCCAGCGGAGCGTCGCCGTGCGAACCCAGCCCAATCTTCAGCTCGGCACACGCTCGACGTGCCCATCGCCGCCGCAGCAGCGGTCCTCCCGCTCAACGGTGCACTCACGAGAAATGCCCGCGTGTTCCCGAACGCCAACAGCGTCAACACCATAGTAAGCTTCATGATGCAACGAGATGATTCGACAGGTAGTTTAGCCTTGTACCTGGCTCAGCAGTGTGAATGCTGGCTGTGCCAGGCAGGAATAGAGACGGCGGCCCTCTTGAGGGATGCTGTCTCTTTCTTTGGAAGGCTGTACACTTTCTGGGGGGGGGGGGGTTCTGTCGCCCCGGACCCCGTGCAAAAACGCCGCACGAACCCTTTCGCTCAGCAGGCTTCCCGATCGCCAGCTCCCCCAGCCGCTTGAACAAGAGGGGCAGGGTGGCGAGCCGCAGACCCTGAGGCAAGCTAAGAAAGACAGCACAGGCGGTGTGTGTATTTGCCTTTAAAAGAACGTATGTTGCACAGCAAGTTGCTTCATATGTACATACATAGATCGAGTGTGTTTGGTAAGGATCCACATGACCGCGATCTTTGCGGTCTGTCTCGCCGGAGGTCTTGGATGCGCACGTTCTCGTCGGCAAGACTCGGAGGCTGATGAGAGAGTATGATTTACTGTTTTGAATTTCCACCTGTTAGTGGTATGTGCCGACCTTGTAACCCTGTTCCTCCACCCTTCCGGTGTCATCAGATAGATGCGGCGTGGACACGCGGGCGGGTGAACTATTTACAATAAAAATAAATACACACAGGAAGACTTCCCATTCGAGATATATACCTACAGTCGAACGGGATGTGGTGGAGTGTGTGCTTTTATTATTCCCCAAGTATTTTCAGTGAGAGGAGGAAAGCTGGCTGGGTACTGGACTTATTTCGAGTATTTTTTAAGTCTATACACTGATTATTTATATCAGTGATGCCAGCTGGTGCTGAGTGCAAAAACATCTGTATAGTCTAGGTAACTTGTGTTTTACAATACATCCCCTGTAGTTCTCTACTGGGTCAACGACAAAATATCGGGGAGAATCCCTCCGTTGTGTCGTGTATTGCAAACTGTAACCTTCACAGGGGACACGGCGCAGTGTCTGTTGACAGCTTGCTGGTTTGTTAGATGTTAGGAATAATATGTACCTCTCAAGGCGCGACGACTCCCCGCCACGTCGCTTTGTAGGCTTAGCGTAAAAAAAAAATCGGCGGGCCCCAACGACGTATTGCGAGACGTTCTTTACCACGAGAGAATAAAAGCATCACGTGACTGCGAAGAGGGGGGTGGGGGAAAGATCCAGCCTCGGTCGCCATTCAGATCGGTGGTGCGGTTACCGTGAACCAAACAGTATTATTGATGAAAGTGACAACCGGGGGGGGGGTTGTGGCGCAACAAGGCGCTGGGCGCAATCTGTTTCTGTGGGCACGCGTGTTTCGCTCAAAAATCGAACGGGCACGTCCTCCCCGTGCCAGATTTTCCAATGACAACTACCGATCGCAACTGCCCCACTGCGGTGTCTCGAAGGTGCGTCCCGGCTGTTTACAGAGCATGAACCCGGAGGGTAGTAGGTGTCACCCGGCGGAAGTACGATAAAAGCCAAATGTTGATCCTCAAGCTCAAACTTCAGTTTCATTCGCTCATGTAGGATCATAGAGCTGGGCTTGACGGGCTGCCTCTGGCACCGAGACACGACCCCCCGTCCGTTACAACTAGCCAAGCATATCATGCGAGTGAAGATCCGTTCATGCTGAAGGAAGCATGCCGAACGTCTGTACTCGCGACAAGGTTCCAGCGGAGGTGCCATGTCGACAGTTTGTAGACGCCATCATGGTTGTAGGTATCGAAAAAGTCGAGGGACGGCCTCGGCCAATCAAGCAACGTGATGCACATCGCTCATCACGTTTCAGACCCGCCTTGTTGGTATACATCCGCTTACTCCTCAAGACACCCTGGTAAGTGTCATCAGTGAAACTAAATGAGGGCGGATGCGTTCAGGCAACCGTGCCAGCATCGGCCTCGCCTGCATCTACACCCAGGGAATGTCAGGGAATGCCATGTTCCAGCATGTTCAAAAGCACCGCCAAATTGGGGCCAAGTACTGTCTTTGACTTTCTTCACATGGCAGCAAACTGCATTTCTTTCGATGCCAGAATCACGGCTTTGGAAACATCTTTCTTGTCCGGTCACCGATGTTCGTAGACAAAGCAAACATTCAACCCCTTACAAAATGCCAATGTTGACCCACCAGAGCTGATAATAGGAAAATAGGATGAGTTTCCGTTCACTCCTTTCAGGCGCTATCCGGTGGCTATCCATTCATGCCCAGCGCCTTCATGCCTGAATCACGTATATCCGCCTGTGAACCAACTATTTCCGACACCGCCGTTGTTCTCGTTGGGTGTTGAACACAAACACCATAAAAACCACAGCTACACCGCCGGTCTCCACAGCACAACAGCCGTCTGGCGACCCAGTAGGAGAACGTCGCCCGTCTCCTCTGCATGCATACATACACGCGTGCTCCTGCCTACAGACCCTGTGATCCTCTCACCCGCTTGATAGAAAAAAACGCACCACACCGCTATCTTGCCCGTGGCCACCACGCTTCGCCAGAAACACGCTCGTCATTCCCTAACAAGACACAAAACGAAGGGGGCGCGAGGGGGCGCATACACTTCTTGACCTTCCGACTTTGCGGGCCACCCCCACCCCCCCTTCCAAAACAAATCCAAACAAACACACTTTTACTTGACCGCATTCCGCAGCGCACGCCTGTCCGCGCGCGTTTGCGCGTGGAATCCGGAGCGGATGGGTGCGACAGACCGGCTCGACCCACAGTCCTGAAACGGTGGCACGGAACAACACCACGGCAAGAAGATAATATATGGTTTGACCAGTGCGGGTCTGCATGCGGCTCGGGTGAAGGAGTCATCGGAGGGGGGCGGGCATGGCTCGTTCAACGAAAACGCGATTTATTCAGCAAGACCAAACATGTTGGAAAAAAGCAAACACAACGATACCGGTAGGTCATTACGCCGATGAAAGCGATACACAGCGACAAAAAAAAAAAAAAACAGCCGGAACAAGATGTACACATCAGTGACTGCTGGCGTACACGACCAAGCAAACTTAGGAGGATGCCTTTATTTTTCTTCTCGTTCTCCTCACCTGGCAGTGCACGAAGAAGAGCCGCGACACGGGATCCCTAGTGAGGGTTGTGTTGGGGCTGCGGCACATCTGGCACGTCACGTACTCCACGATGTATTTCCGCAGGAGCGACTCGATGTACTTCGGCACGTACTTCCCTGTACAAGCGGCGGCGGCGGCACAAGAGCGTTGTCGAGCATCGCGCGAGGTAAAAACGGAAGCATCACGCAGCACGAGAATACATCAGTCGGAGCAGCATGAGATACATGTCGCGAGATCGGCTCAGTCTGGCCCGGGGGCCACGTCACATGCATGGCCCGCGGGGGGCGTGACTTGGTTGCCTACGAGTGCCTAGCTCCGGTGAAAAAAAAGAAACGGTAAGGACCAGCACCAAGCACATTTACCGACACCTCCATCAATACCGTCGACCGGTCGATTCTAAAAACTTGGCCTGAACCCGGTGAGTCCGCGAACAACCTAGACAGCGCATTTTCCTACAACGCCGATGTTTGACGACGTCTGTCGCACAGGGCTTACCTTCAACCACCGCGCGTGTATCGGTTACGCAAAAAGCAGGATCGTAGACGTACCCAACCAACGCGCTGGCCACTAAGGATATCTATCTACCTGGCAGTGACCAAGGCGATGAAACCAACAAAGCGGCCATCAGAACGAGTACAAACACGTTTCCTTGTTGCAGCCCGATCGCCTTCCATTCGCCGAACCAATGGCGCAATCGGACTGACCGCGCAACGCAGGCGGGACTGGTGAATAAAAACAGGCAAACTCGTAAGTAAATAAATAAATAAACAAACAAACAAAATAAATGGAGCGAGAGACGGACCTCGCAAGACCAAGCGCTGGTTTCCGTCGATGGAACCTTCCGTTCCCAGTTCCGCCACTACGAAGGAGAAGACGTGCTCCGGCTGCCTCTTCATCAGCTGGCAGATGTCCTGGAAGTTCGCCCACAAGGTCTGCGGTGGAACGAAAAACGAAAGGGCGGTAGGAAGTGGTAAGAGACACGCGCGTACTGGGTATCCTTCTCGAGGAACGGAGAGAGGTACGGTAGAAAGCGCGACGAGTGGATGGCACTACCCGTCCACCCCCATCATTTCTTTCTTTCCCGTCGCAGCAACGGCTGTGCGAACCGACAAAGAGAGAACGATTAGAGGAAGCACATTGTACACCACGAGGTCGCGTAAATTATGAGGAAAAAACATGCTGCGCCGCGCCTGGACATCTGAAAGGCATACCTGATGACGTGCCGGACACTATTATAGGGTTCTGAAAATAGCATACCTGTTGTGTCGGTGCACCTGATAAACAGACAAACCGAATGGCTACTGCTGGTCTCAGTCAATGGGTGTGTGGTAAAACGATGGTCAACACCAGTAGTTGGTAACCATTCAGGTTCTTTCACATCTTCGATCATAGACCTAATCAGTGCACGCCGCTAAGCTACCACAATCGACAGACACGTACGCGAAATAACAATTCAAAGACGAAATACGGTACGACACATCGACCGAACTTCCAGCATACCAAAATGCGAGAGTCGAAAAAAGAAATACGGAAAAGGCGACAAACAATAATGCTGCCGTGCGGTGTGACCGACGATGTCATTGAGACAACACAACGAGGGTGAAACGCATGCAAAATATTAGCAAAATTCTCTCAATCAAAGGGTGTACAGTGGTCAACTCAATATATTTGTGGGTTTTAAAACACTTGGGACAATGAATATCTTCGACGTCCAAAGAACGGGTGGACACAGCAGTGTAACAAAAAAACTTGAAGATTTACGACACAGGACAAGAACAAATCCTTCCTACGGATTGAGAACACACAACAAGGCATGCCGATGCTTTTTGTCTCAAAAATGAATGGTTTCGACAGGAGCGATTGCTCACTCTTCAGTGGTAGTGACAAAACTGAAGGTATATATCACGGACAAAAGCACGACGTGCCAATCTGCGGAGGCGAAAAAAACAACGCTCGGGTGCACACCACTCCCAACCATTTTCGCAAAAAAAAAAAAAGAAGACAACCAACGTACAGCGCTCGTTGCCTCTCCCGCTGTTTGTTCAGCGACGCGACCCTACGACAAACGTGCAGCCCAAAAGCTATGGCACGCGCGAAATCCTATCGGTCTCAGTCAGTATGATTGTGGTAGACAATGGTCAACATAATTGAAGGTTGCCCGACCATTCAGCGTCTGCCACGTTTCCGCACGAAATGCTTCCAGTTTCCGGTAAGGACCAATATCAACATCCAAAATATACGCTAGCGGTTTACATAGATCAGTTTTCTTCCCCAGTTTTGTTTGGCGAGTACACAATCGGACGGCGATAAAATTGTTGTTAACAGGGATTCCTCATTCGCAGCATCTCTTCCCGTACTCTGCTTTGAGTAGCAAAAAATTGTGTCCGGTGTTAAAAACTCCAGTGCGGGCGGGGGGCAAGAGGAAGGCGCGCAGGATAGCCGTAGGCGCGTACGCGTTAAGCGCCATCGTGCGACGAAAACGCGCTTAGCCGTGTCGACGGCGGAGCTCACAGCGGTGGCGGCAGCTCTCAGCTCCGTCAACACGGCACGAAACGCACTGAAAAACCTCCCTTGCCTAGAATACCACGCACGTTGCATGCTAAGCCCGGCATATACATGAGTATAGCTCGGATGGGCATACGTGGAGACACTGGTTTGAACAATTGCTGCAGAGATTCGTTAGTGGACTGCCTTCTGATGAGGGATTGTTTTGCCTTGATCGAAAAAGGTAGAATACAGCGTTTTAGCTGGGTTTGTTTTGCCTTGATCGAAAAAGGTACAATACAGCGTTTTAGCTGCGTTTGTTTTGCCTTGACTGAACAAGGTAGAAAACAGCTTTTTAGCTGCGGCACGCGCGCGCCATTGTTGTCAACCGTCCAAACGCATTGTTCGTGATGCGACGTACTGCACTGGTGAAGTGATCGATACCGCTTAATGGCGCCCGGCATGCTTTTCGCAGCCGGCATTTTGATAACAATATCGGGACATACGGGTACTTCCCAAACCCGGAACCAAAGCGTCTGGTTTGGCGTCACATCTTGCATCATTGACCGAAAATACCGGATTACTCTGAGACACTCTCGCAACCAAGACGGCACAACAAAATACAGGATAACTCTGAGACACTCTCACAACCAAGACGGCACAACAAAATACAGGATAACTCTGAGACACTCTCGCAACCAAGACGGCACAACAAAATACAGGATTACTCTGAGACACTCTCACAACCAAGACGGCACAACAATCATATCGCGACTTCAAGGCCGGTACAACGCGATCGCTAGCTGCTAGCAAGACCAAAACAGACCAAACCTTTTAGAAAAAAAAGAGAGAAGTTGCTCTCTGTTGTACGGATGAAAAAAAACACATCCCCGTTAGCGATATTTTTGTTGTTTTGTTTCGCACAAAGGGTCGGGGTAAGCCACCACAGTGACGAATAAACGGGCGCAAAAGTATGCAACTTTCTTCACAGTAAAATCGGTGCGGCAAAAACAGAAAATGTCAGGCTTCATTCGGATATGTTATCTTCCACTCTCCGCTGAGAGGAGAGATTCAGTTCTCAAACTTTAAATGGATCATCAGCCCTTTGCGCGCATCCAGAAAAAACACCACCAAAGCCATGTAAACACCGACGAATCGTCTTGACAAAAAGAAAGGACAGCCAAAATATGATGTGTGCAGCAGATACGTTGAAGCGTGGAAGCAAGCCTGTTGCAAACAATGCCAAGGATCGGTGAGTGGCAGACCAGCGCTGGTCTCAGTCAATGGGTGTGTGGTAAAACGATGGTCAACACCAGTAGTTGGTAACCATTCAGGTTCTTTCACATCTTCGATCATAGACCCTCGGGGCTGTCGTACGCCAACACCTTCGTCTGCGCTACAGCAACAAAAACGCCGATACCAACGTGGAATCTAGGCCAAGAGCATACTGAAATACTTAACAACGGGGAGGGTCTCCAGTGTGTGCGCTCGGTTCTTACTGCGTTCGCCTCGAAAAAACAAATGGCGACACGAATGCCGCTGCGCACTCTTCGGTCATCCTGGCACAACTCCTCCCACAGACGAGCCATACCCTATGATCACGCCACGGTTTCGAATCGTACTGCGGGACAACCTTTACCCCGAGGTCCTTAGACCCCTTTGGATACAGCAGGCGTCAGTCACCCTTGACGAAGGGGCATCCTCGTGTGTCTGGTGCGATCAACAAGACTGCCCAAAACTCAAAAACAAGCACCCAATCGGCACGCCGAGAACAGCACATTTTCTTCACAGGGAACAACAGACGACACTGCAAAAATAACAGTTTCGGCGTCATTGTCGTGATTTCTGTATCTGTCGAAGTATTTCGAAACGACAAAAAGAATGCGTCCTCCGCCCCGATGCGCCTGCATATCGATCATCCTGCATCCCCCGCAACTTGCGTGATCTTCAAGCAGAAGGTGGTCTCAGTCAATGGGTGTGTGGTAAAACGATGGTCAACACCAGTAGTTGGTAACCATTCAGGTTCTTTCACATCTTCGATCATAGACCGCAAGGCTGCTATCGAGCAATGGATACCTGCTTGTCATGCACAGCTAAAATCTACAGCGTACGTAGGACTAAAAATATCAATGCATACCCAGGCAAAGGCCGGCCGAAACACAATCACCAGCTTCGGCCGTTGCTATTGCTATTTTGTTAGCACTTAACATTAAATCCCAACGAGTAGTGTCAAAAAATCTCGTTCATGTGATTTTTTCCCACCTACGACACAATACCAAATAACCAAGACGTGCTGTGCAAAGTTGCAAATGCGCAAGAAACGTTGATAGTGCGTAGGGTTTGCATTGAATTTACCCATGCACAGCATGTGCGACAACGATCGCACAAAAATGCGCTATTGTCGATTACGTACACATGTGGTATTCGGTTTGACTCTGCGATTTGGGGCAACATGGACAAAGAGACAAGCCGGGGAAAACAAACGCATCCAAAGGAACAACTTCGCGACTTGGTCTCAGTCAATGGGTGTGTGGTAAAACGATGGTCAACACCAGTAGTTGGTAACCATTCAGGTTCTTTCACATCTTCGATCATCGACCAATAACTCAAGCACAATCAAGGGCACGTGATGTTGCTCATGCTCTCAGGCAAGAGCAGGGCATTTTCAAGCCTACAATGGTGGCCAAAATGTGGATAAGGGCTACAGCGTCCACCGAGGGGGCCAAAGCAGTTGCTGCAAATCTCTGTTGAGTGCGTTCAGGTACCTTACTGCGGATGAGATACCCTTGCGACAGATGCGAAAGGCCCGCAATCGAAGCGAACGCGCAGAGGAGCCATGAAATGGTGACCTCGTTGGCAAAGCACCAGACACTGACGGTCTGGCTCATATCGTTCTCTTCCCCTCGGTCTCCTTGTGATGTAGACGCAGCACCGGTATGCGTGCACTCCTTCCGACCGCCACGTATCCGAAACCAAACACATCCATACAGCAGTCTATCCTTGCATTGGGCTGGGTTCGTCCGGACTGGTATAAAAATGCCGACAGGTTAGTGCCGCGAACGCACGTGTCAAGTTACGACGGCTGGCCGGTTTCATTTTCAAAAAACGGTGCACACCGAAAGAGGGCAGAAGTTAGATGAATATACTGGCCAACGAATGGCGGCGCACCTTCCGTGTTCCCATGCGCATGAGCTGTGGCGGCTTGAGCGTGATGCGGCTGCGTTCGGCCAGCTCCGGGTTGTTGACGTGGAGCAGGTTCTGCAATTCAAAAAGAGCATTCACACATGTCAAACCGCCTTGTTGGAGACATTCCCCCCTCCCCCCAAATGTACTTCAGTGTGATACAACCCCAACACTAAGCGTTTGTGTACAACGGCGACTGGAGGGCTGGGAGGGGAACTGGAGACCAAGCGTCACGTATATTCTGGACTTGCTGCAATCCGTTGGGGTATGAAAAAAGGCGCAATTGGTCAACTTATGTCAAAACCGGCTACTTGAAACAGCCTACTACTGTGCAACAGCCACGAGTGCTATCGCCGGCAGTGTGCAGGTACCAAGCAGATTCCTCAAACATGCAGTCTAGTACCACATGGACGAACCAAAATCGAGCGCCAGCCGTGTGAAAGAAAATCGCCTCACATGAATACCGCACAACAACCATGTTATCCCACATCCTTGATTGATGCGCACCACCCGCAAACACCAGCAGTGCCACCCGATCACCACCATTCCTACTACTGTACCTGGATCCTCTCCAGCAACGTCTCGTAGTTGTACCTCCCCTCCCCCTCCTCCCTGTCTTCGCCGTCTCCCCCGCCCGCCTCGTCGTCCCCCTCGGTCTTGACCTTCTTCTTCTTCTTCTTCTTCTTCTTGCTCAGGTCGAACATCGACAGGTCGACCTCCGCCTCCACCGCCGCGGAATCGGCCTTGGGTGCCGCATTGTCCTCGGCCCCCGGTGGGACCTGGGATGTCAGCACGGCGAGGAGAGAGAGAGATGGTGGGCTAACTGCTGCTGTCCATGGGGAACGGCGCGCGAGGACACGAGCATCTCACGCAGAAATGAAGAAAACTAGAGCGGCAACGACTGCACGTTGCGTTGACTGGATAACTCAAATAACAAAGGAAAGCTGCGCGAATCTTCACCAGGGTGTCGCATGCGCGCCCATGGGATACGGGGGGGCGCAGCATATACCGCAGCTGCGTTCGTGCAACACCCACGGCTCACGTGGGCCATCAGGTTTCGGCGGAAGGCATTTTCACAAGTGCAAACACCCTTAGTGAAAGACAGAGCACGAACAACGATTGCTTGGTCACCGCTCGGTACCCTCACCTCGGGCAAAGCGTCCACATCCGCCATGCCTGTGGCTGGTGGCGCTCTGTCCTCCGAGCTCTCCTTGCTTGCTGTGTGTGTGTGCGTTGTCGGCGCGCTCTCGATATTGAGATGTCAGCGGGCCCCCGGCAAAAGGTACCCACTAATCTTGGATACATCTGCGTAGACCCCAGCACTGCCGAGCTCACAGCAGAGCAAGCAGCTAATCAATCCGCTGCTGTGTAAGGCTCGGGCAATGGACGCCACTACTGAGAGCCAGAAGGGCGCATCATCAATCGAGGATGCTGGAGTGGCAGTGAAGATGGAAGGGCAAGTCGGCGGCGACGAAGACTCTTGCCCAATCGCGAAGAACGCGGCCCTTCTCGAGGAGTTGGACGCAGCCGAGGGCAAGGTTGCGGAGCTGTTGGAGGTCGCCGCCGACGCGCTGGACGAGCTCGCCGGGGTGGAGTCGTTGGATAGCTCCAAGGTCGAGGCTTCAACCAAGAAATTCTTAGAGTTGGTGTCGTCCGTGCACGGCACGCTGTCATCCAAGGCGGAGTTGATTCGAGATTACACGCCGTATCCGCGGAGTATATACGGGCCGCGCAAGGAGCTCGAGCTTCTCCACGAAAAGGCCCGTTTCCTACGGACGACTCTGGCCGAGTTGTCGAAAGAACAGCCCGCTTCTTCTGCGAGAAAAGAACCGCCAGAGTCGGACTCCCCGCCACAGGACGATGGGGGTGGTGCTGCTGCTGCAGTGTGAAACATTGTGTACGTGTGTCCCATGTAATATTCGGTGCGGTGAGCGGAGGTAGTGGGTGTTGTTGGCAGCGGTGCGGCTCCCCCCCCCCCTCCCCCCCAGACGCCTGTAGTCCCACGGTAGTGGTGGGGCCCGATTTTGGTACGTTGCCACGTTGCCTCTATACCGTTTCAGCAGGTAGTAACCGTTTGCACTGATCCTCGCTGACAGTATCTTCTACATGACGTTTTGTTGGTTGGCGTAACGTAGTTTTAGTGGATGGAGCATGTGGAACACCTTGAATGTTCTTGGCTTGCGGAAGCTTCGTCTAGTTACATGTTTTGGCTTGTGTTGCCGTTTTCGTGGTTTGTGAAAATGCTATAATTTTCTGTCGTTGAAGATGTTTCGGTGATGTTTAAGGACAATTTATTATGTACTGTACCGGTGGTTCATGAAGTCTTTCTTGTAGTCTCAAGCCTTTCTGTTATGCGCATGCACTCTCTCTCTCTCTCTCTCTCTCTCTCCACCCTCGCCAATCGGCGATCACGGGAGTCGTTCCGTTATGGTCAGAGTGCTCTCGCCGCATCTGTGAGGACACCTTGTTTCGGGAGGACCCATTATACCCTGCATTCCCTGTGTTGTTCATGTGCCCACGCTCGTGCTGTTCAGATCGCAACCCCTTTTTCTGCAGTCGTGGAAACAAGAACTAAATGCAACTCTCCATCGTTTCAGACGTCTTCGGGTGCGACTGCCTCTGACGAGTAGATACCATGCAGCAGCTCGTGAACTCTGTATTGAGGCCCCTCTCGCTCTGCCACACAACTCGCCCAAGCTTGACTGATTTGACTTGGTCTGATGCTGTTGTATGCTATGGGATTGAGAATGACAACGCCCAGAGCGATGCCACCAAACAACTGTTCCTCGCATCTTGTAGCTACCTTCCATATGGTGCGTGACGGAGGTTGGAAATTGTTGCAACTCGCATGCTGTGTTGACGCCCTCCTCGCTCTGCTACACAACTCGCCCCAAGGTTTACTGATTCGAGAGCTGTCTGGTGCTGTTGTACGAAAGCGAGAACGACAGCACCCACAGCAACGCCACTGAAACCAAACAGCTGGTGATCGTTTCTCCTGGTGACTGCATACAGAATATCGAAGGGGCATCCGGCAACCCATCAAACGTCAATCCCATGTCGGCAAACTTGACAGGGGTTACCCAAACATATTATTCGAAGAAATTATTTGTCGCTACGGAGCCCCAACTCCCCGTGGAATTACTGTGGAATTGCTGCACACAGATAGATGAGTACCACTCACCAAAGTCGTTGCTCGACCGCTGCGCTACGTTGGGAATAACACCTTACTGTGCAGCGGGACTGGTTCGCCGAGGGAATATAACCCAGAACACGATGTGTACATGTACATGGTAGCCTTCACTCGACACCCATGTGAGGCAAATCTTTTATCTACAGCTACTCGGCTGCTGTTTCGCAACGTTCTAATGTCCAAGAAGCCCAAGTCTGTTCCTCACGCACGCCTGTGCCACCCTCCATCTTTTCGGCGCATGCCTTCAGAAGTGCGTACCACGCAATAGCCTCCCCGACTCGTACCGTTGCGCAGAGCAAGGAGCGCGGTCCACAAGCCGCGAATGTCTTCGATTCGTGCGAATCGTCCGCGACCGCTCTCAAAGTCTCTACATCGCCAAACGTCGGGTTGAGTGACCCCAATCGAGTGCGGCATTGCTCTGCAAGGAGACGCAACGCCTGCTGCTCGTTCTGAAGCGACAGGCGACTGCCCAAATGCGCCAAAACTTGACGACCTGTGCCAGCAGCGAGGACAGGGCACTTATCTGAGCTAGTATCGGTCATCCTGCTGTCAAAACTCGTCCCAAAAACACTTCGAGTATCGCACGCATCGCCGAAGGCGTCTCCACCCGTTAGCTCTTCAGGGGTCAAAGCAACAAGACGCATCACAGGCAGGACAGATTCCACAAACAATCGGGCCGGGCCCTCGACCAACTGCGACACGAAAGGGGTCAACGGGAACATCGCGCCTAGATTTGGAGACACAAGATCTTCTCCCGCTTGACGTTCGCGAAGAACGGCCTCTTTGAAGACGCGCAACTCATCTGTCGCAGCTATGGTCAATTCAACGTCGCAAAAGGCTTCCGTCGGAAGAGGGAGCATGTTGCCCGCGGGGCGGCGTTGAGATGGCTGAGCAGCATGTTGCTTGAGGGTGACGAACCCGAAGGAGAAGAGCCTCTTGGCGTTGTCCATATCACCATAGGTCGTGCACACTTCTTCGCCTGGCCTGTAGGTTCGGTCTGCCACGAACACGACCTGGGAAAACATTGCGTCAAGGTGCAACCGCCATGGGGTGGAAACAACGCAACCGCCAGAATAAAGTTGGTTGCCACGAAACTATGTATGCAGCAGAGGAATTCAAAAAGTTCATGGCAACTGCTGGGGTAAGGGGAGAGTGTAGCCCGAGCACCGAGCACCACAGACCTACAACAGTGTATAACTTGCCCTATCAATTCGGGTCATCACCACCGCAAGAGCTGTTAGAAATTAACCTCAAACCCAATTTTTATGGGCAGTGCATCACGATTGTCGTTGGCATGAAAACAAAATTGCGTGATAGTGTAAGCTGCAACGCGTGGCACTTCGCCGCACTATCCATGAGAGCGTGGAATACTCTACCGCTGGTCAACTGGGACACGCACGTGAGCCTTCATACCCTACCTCGTCTGAACCGGTAAACACGCCGTCGCCTGGACACACCGCAAAGGCCACATCATCATCATGGTTGGCGAAGTCAACCAGGGGTATGAGAAGGTACCTGCGACGAAAAAAAGCGGCACAGGCCGGGAGAGTCAGTGCAGAGCCAGCACGAAGCCAATCATATCTCGCAGATCGAACAAGGAACTTCTGTGGCAAGCTCAATGTCGAAGACTTGTTGCACCGCGTTCAATACCAAATTGTCGAACATGATCTACTGTAGTACGATTAGCTCATCTAGCCTCACCTTCGCCGAACGCGATACGCCCTGGATTGGACCGTGCACCGTGCATGCAACCACTCGGCGAATGTTGGTCTCCCTTCCATATTGCTGGTATCCAACCAAGGACACTCCGGGAAGCCCCCCCCCTCGCCCCCCGCCCTCCCTCCCCCCCCCAACTCCCCCCGCAATCCTTTCACCATCGCAGCAGCAACGGCAACACGCTCCGACTTGGCCCTCGCCAGGCACGCCTCGACATCTTGCAAGACAAGCGTTCCTTTAAGGCCCTCAAGGTCGCTGTCCGGCCACAAAGCCGGCAGGTTAAGGCTGCCCTTTCGATTCAGCATCGCCATCCAGGGCGCGCACGTTGAGCGCTCGCCGGCGGCACTCTCAAGGAAAACCTGCAGCGTGACCACAGCCACGTCCCCCTCAAAACTCAGATGTTTCTCTGAGCATGCTGCAGCAGCGGAAGACGGAATGGAGGCAAACAAGTCATGCGCCCACGCTCTGAGCGTTCCAGCAGGCGCATCCGCGGCGTCCGACGAGAAGCATATTCTTCGGGGGATGCTGGCCACCTGGGTTGAAGAGCAAGGGAGGATGGTCCTTGTCAATTCTCGGGAGTGTATGTGCAGGCAAAAAATGCTGTGCAACAACGGTTCATCAACGAGGTGGGTCTTGGAGTTGGCAAAACAAACACCTGCGGGGACTGCTTGTACAAGGTTATTACTTTCTCTCACCGTTGAATCACGCTCCAATTCCACGGAAGCCGTGAGCCCGATCCCTTTCCCAGAAACACTGGTCAGTCTAGCTGCCGGAGGCCCACACCCGCCACCACGCCGGTCCACGCCGACCTCGTCAAGCCATAGCTCAATTTCTTTCAGGCTCGATTTGCTTGACCGTGGACTTTCGCAGCGGCCATCTGTCTCTTCCGCTGTGGCTACGTTTGTGCAGCCTATTGCGCCTTCGCGGGCAAGCAAAGCGCTCCGACACCAGCTGTAGCGAACCAACGCTGTCGCGGGTGACGGGAGCTGTAAAAGTACCAGCGCCACCCTGCAGTACAACAGCCATCGACATCGCTCGGGCATTGTTGTTTCCAGGCGTCAGCCGTGAGCAACACTAACGGCCCGGCCACGTACGCTCTAGTTGGAACGTGTGAAGCGTGTTATCTCCCAGCGCTATCGGTCGGTGGCAGGAGCTGTTGTCGCCGCTGCTGGTTCCGCGAGCTTTCCAAGGACCCGAATGTACAGGCTGCAGCCGGGGCAATCTAGGACCTCGAAACCTTCGTTGAGTTCGTCTCGGGTTACGACGTACGCCTCTCCGCAGCGGCACTCGTGGGAAAAGCTGCCACCGTCTGCCTCGTCGAAGTGCATATCGTCCACGTTTACCTTAGTTTCGGCGGCGGGGGGTCAATCCATACACAAAACGAGATGAGGGATGGTGATTGCTCATCATCGACCAAACCACACAAATAGACTGACAGAACGACCCTTGCCGTTCGTGTGGCACCAGGTGATCGGGTTTTCGACCCAACCATTACCGTTACGGGATACTATTATACTATCGACGCGCTCGTACGAAGTCAAGCGCACCTCATCAGACACGACGATGTTCCTGGCCTGCAAGTCCAAGCGACAGTCGTACTCCTGTCGCAGGTCCTCGTCTCGAAGAGTCTCCCACGCCGCTTGGATCAGCAAAAACCGTTGCGAGGCCTGCGAAACAAGACACAAACAAGAGAGACCGGCCCGTCAAGACATGGCACGTGAATCAAATTAAAAGGCTGGCGCGAACAGGCGGAATAAACACGTGAGCACCCCAAACAGCACGCCATAGTACAAGACAGCGGGAGCAGCTGCACGGCAGCTGCGTCCGGCGGTGCACACCTGTGCTTTTAGCTCCGCGGTAGCGAGGCTCGCTTGCTTGTCCGGGTGACTTGCCAACGCCGCCGCCTGATAAGCTCCCTTTATTTCTTGGAGTGACGCCGATCTCTTTACTCCAAGAACCTCGTACTTGCTCATCCGCTGCGTGCGTGCCTCGTAGTGCACTCGCAGTCCACGATGCGCAGCTGTCTGGAACGCTGGCAATGGCGCTCTCCGGGCAAGCAAGCGGCGAGATATGTAGGGGCAACGCGGAATGCGATCACCCCCTGGCTCACCCCACTAAGCCCCCCCTGGGCAACGACCAACAAAGAATGGAATGAAGAGCAGCCCGTAGCAGGTAGCAGCGACACACAGGCTGAAGCAGCCTTCTCAACGCCCGGAAACACATCCACCCTCGTGTGACTTAATTGTCTCCATCCACTTGCATTGTCGGACTAGGCTTTCGGAAAGCAAGACTTTCATTTTCGCGGAGTCATCATGCGGTCTATTTTGTGCATCCTGCTGGCCTGCGTCGCCGCGAGCCAGGCCTTCGTCGTGGCCCCCGCACGGGCTGGCCTGTCAACCATGCCCTCTCTCCGCGAGGGATCATTCGTCTGCAGCCTTCCATCCACTGCATCGTTGACGGTCGCACAGGGAGGGGGGAACGTTGCAGTGTCGAGACCGAGGTGAGCGAAACGAGCATAGGTTATAGATGACGCTGTCTCTAATGATCTTGGTGCAAGGTGACGTGTGCCGCATGTTCTGTCCGCCGTGTCGGCGTGTGCTCATGTTTGGGGTGCAGCTGCGTGATTCCCCCCCAACCCCAGAAACCCTTGTCGACAGCTGCTAAGGATGCTATCTGCCTGGAGTGATGACTTATATCCATACGGATGTTGTTTGCATGTATCCCTGATTACCAGTATGCATCAATTAGCCGTTTTCTCTTGCCCAATCAGCGCGCGCTCTCTCTCTCCAACATCGCACTGCGGGCATCTCTTCGCTCCCTGTCCCGTGTCAATCTCCCGAGCTTTCCAAACTTGTGAAGCTCTTTGTATGAGGCCCATAAAGCACTGCTGTTCCTTAGGATGTTTGGTTGTATGTGTTCGGCATAACGGGAAAATGATGGGACGAACACAAACAGCAGTTAAGCGCTGTAGCGCTGTCGGTGCCTATGGTACACAGCAGTCTCGTGGTGGGTCTCGTGGTCAGTCTGCACGACTCCCTACCGTAGCGGCAGGTTGTTGTTCGATTCTTTCCGCGGAGAGTATTTTTCCCGGGGTTTATTTCCAGCAACCTGCAGTTGATCTAGGTCGCGAGTGAAGACACCTTCGGCTGCACGTTTGACGAGGGAAAGGGGTGACTGAACCCTTCTCGCGATTATAACCAAGGCAAGCACCGCAGCGGGAAAGGTGGGGCAATACTGGACTGGGGTTAATGTTTTTTTGGTTGATAAAAGGAACTGCAGTAGGCTCGTGCGTTTTGAGTTCTGGGGGGCGCCGGTGATTCCCAGAGAGGGGGGGTGGCCGTCAGCTAGCCCAACAACAAAAAAAACGCCCACTGGCTCAGGCAACCCGAATTCTTGCTCTGAGAGGCAACTCAAAACAGCATGTGATGGGTGACCAGATTAGCAGGGAAGGCACAGGTCCCACACTACTGTAGACCCTCGCACACAAGTGTAAAGAGTTGTACAGCAGTACATGCATCATCAATGGTGATGCGTAGGAGCGTGTTTGTGTGCGCATACCGCTCTCTTGTCTCCCAGCTAGTGACAAACTGAAAAACAATTGGGCGGAACAACCCGTGCACCAACCCAACACCCACAACCAACACGGCAGACGCAAACATAAGCACTGGTTTAGATACACAACAGCTGTGCTTGTCAACTCGCTCTGTGATATATCTCCTGTTTGACAGTTGCTCGATCGGGTGCAAGCACGCTCATCCCTGTGTGTGTGTCGTCCGTGGTAGTGCGGTGTTGCCCGGCGCTGTGCTCATCGGCGCTCGCTGTGACGGTGGTGTGCATCATCTCTCTCGAGATCGTGAAACAACGAACCAAGTGTTTATCTCCTCCTCTCGCTTCCGGCGTTAGCTAAGAGTAGCAGGAGTGTAGTATAGGTCGCACCCTCCCGTCTCCCTCCTCCCTGGCGTGTGTCTCCCTCCACCCTTGTCCATCTCTCTGCAATTACTTATCTGCGATATACGTACCAGCAGCGGTAGAGAGAACCTGGTTCCAAAAAATTGACGCCTCCTCCTCGGTCTCGGGGACGCCTGAATCCGACATTTGTGTTCGGCACACATGTGTTCGTAACTCGACGCACTGAGCACGGATTGGGCGGGAAGCAGTTGCGACAGCGCGGGCAAAATGCTACTCGTTGGGCCCAAGTCTTAGGTTGCAATTTGGTGCCTGTAGATGGTGAAATGGGCTCCAGTCTGCTGGGTTTTGGATCATACGGACAGACAGACGGTCAGACACGTATTTGTCCATTTTTTCACGCCCCGCGTGTGCAATTTCCTTTTGTTTGCGCGCATACATGTACATACGACCCGTCTAAAAAACAGCTTTTTGTTTCAAAAAGCACCCCTTTTCTTTTTATTTTCTCCCATCATTGGACTCTGTCGTCTGCCCCTCTGGCCCCCATCCTCCACTTCTACTAGCGAGACGACCCAACCGGGGTCACATAGGAGGGGGGGGTCGGACCCCCTCCTGCGGTTCATGCCTGAGATATTTTTATCGCGAGAAGGGTACAGCAATCCCTTCCCTCGCGACTTATGAATTCGATCTAGTTTACTAACAACGAGCTTTGCAGCGCGTCGCTTCCAACTTAGACCAGGATTTATTTAGTGAGCAATAGAACTCACTTTAACGCTATGGGCCGCCCTGACAAAAACTATTGAAAACAGCAGTAGAATGAAAAGAGCTCCTAGTGACCTTTCTTGTGTGACCCAGGCTGATATGTCCGGTATGGTATACACGCCGAAAGGCCTGTAAGCCGGCGCCAGAATAGATGGGACGAAAACACATACGCACCCGTTTTTGCTGTCCTCTGCTCTTCGAATGCTACTTAGGTCCGGGCGAGGTCATGTATGAAGCCTTTGTGTGTGCGTGTCGCAGGAACACTTTGTAGAGAAATTCATTTTGGCGTTTGTATTCAGCGCGTTGAGCATGTTCGAAGTTGTGTGCCCCTTCCAGAGACCCTTGATTTTTCCCGCTGACACTGACGTCTTAGAAATTGGTTGACGTGGTCGATGCTAGACAATACTAGAGGTACGCATAAGAAGAGAGAGGGAGATATAGAGAGGGAAACCTGTCGTTTGACCCGCGTGCGTGTTTTGTGCCGCCGTGGTCCGCAGGAGGACAAGCCGCGGTGAGCTTCGCATGGGAAAGGTGTCCAAGTTCGGCATTTTTTCCCCCGCCGTCGTCGCAGCCAAGGTTATCCTTGGCGAGAGCAGGCTCAACAAAATCAGGGGGAAGGTGAGGGAATTTTATCATTCAAGCGAACGTTTTCACACGAGTGCGCTACAACAGGCCAATGGGCCGGATTCGGGTGGTTGGGAATTCGAGGTGCTGTCTTGTTATATATACCGATCACGAACCTCCTGAGCTGCGTGGGTTTACTACGGCCATGTTATGGGGAGCCTGCCACACGATGACTTGTGGGGTGTGGTGTACCTGTAGGCCTCGCACCAATCGTTCGTCAGCGACGCCGGTCGATACAAAAGCATGTACCCCGGTGATAGTGTAGAGCGTTCCTTGCGAAACTCAGCTGCAATAGACAAACGCTAGAATTCCGGGGGGGGGGGGCGTACTCTTATGTTTTGCATGCCTCAGCGGTTAGACATTGACCACGCGTTCTCGAGAGGACGGAACATTGTTCCCACAGGACCGATCACGGATGGCCAATCGTTCCTTCCTACTTTGCCAAAGGTGGCTCAAAAATGTCTTCCTAGTCTGTCTATCCTAACGATATCCCTTCCCGCCTTTTCAAACCACTTCCTACTCCCCAGTAAAGCTACCGTCCTCTCCTCTCTATTCCATGCCTCAAACATCTCCCTGTACCTCCCTTGTATTTTTCCCAGCTCAGTCATGTACACTTCCCTCTCCTTATTGTATAGCCGACATTCCGCGACTACATGAACACGGTCTTCGCATTCGAAGCCGCAATCACATTTGAACTTGTCGTCTTCGTCGTCTACCGTCCTATGTCTTCGTCGACGTTCTCGAAGGCCTATGTCTCCGGTCCTGAATTTGACCTTAGCTTTGTCCCTGCATTCATTGGTCCATGTAGGTAATCCTTGAACCCTATTCCTTCTTTCAACATTCCGTGCACTTCTTGACCCTCCTATCCTCAGTTTCTTTCCGTAGATTCTGTTCTTCTCTCTCGGCACAAGCAACAGATATCTTCTCCTTGAACCCCTGTAGACCCTCCGTTTCCGGCGTTTCATCTTCGTCGATGTCGAATCCTTCCATACATCCTCTACAACCTTGACCCATTCCGTGGGTTGTCTACCCCTCTTTTTGTTTGCCCACTTTGCCTCCCACACTATTCTCGGCAACCTCTCCTCTCCCATCCCGTACATGCGATACTGCCATGCCAGCTTCCTTGCGTCTCTTCCCGACCGTAGGGATTGGATCCCTAATTCTGCCCTGACGGCTGCGTTACTTGTGCGCTTGGAGCATCCTAGGATGATTTTCGCTGCTTTCATCTGCGCCGCCTCGAGTTCTTTCACCACCTTCTTATTTCCTTCCCATACTTCTCCGGCGTACTCTAGCGGCGGTACAAGTACGCTCTTCAAAACCGTCAATTTGATGCGTGTATCGAGGTGCCGGTTTTTGCGAGTATTGGGTGCAGCTTCCCTGCTCGTGCTTTGCCCTTTTCCGCTACCTTGGACATGTGTGCATACCACGAGCAGTCTCTTACGATCTCTACTCCGAGTTGGGGCAGGGGGGGGGGGGGGGGGGGGGGGGGGGGAGTGAATTTGAAAGCGGTTGGAGGTGAAAACTTTGTTGCTGGTGGTCGCCCTCGAGAAAAAAGGGGGGGGGGAACCCCGGGGTTTTCCCGGGACAGGGGTTTTAAATTAAAAAGGGGGAAGGGGGGGGGGGTTTTTGGGGGGGGCCAAAAAAGGGGGGG